TAAACTAAACCATAGTACTGAGTGCCATGTCCAGGCACTTTTTGAACATTTCCACAGACTGTGACTCCACCACCTCCCTGAGCAACCTTTTCAGTGAAAAAATTCCTCCTGATGTCCAACCTGAACCTTCCCTGGCACAGCTTGAGGCCATGCCCTCTTGTCCTGTCACTGTTTGCCTGGGAGAAGAAGCCAAACCCCACCTTACTAAACCCTCCTTGCAGGCAGTTGTAGAGAATGGTAAATTCTGCCCTGAGCCTCCTCCTCTGCAGACTAAACCCCAGCTTCCTCAGCTGCTCCTCACAGGACTCACTCTCCAGACCCTTCCCCAGCTCCACTGCCCTGCTCCAGGCTCGCTCCAGCCCCTCCGTGTCTTCCCGGAGGTGATGGGCCCCCAGCTGGACACAGCACTCCAGGTGGTGCCTCACCTGTACAGGGGCACAATCCCTGCCCTGCTCCTGCTGGCCACACCATTCCTGATGCCACTGGCCTTCTTGGCCACCTGGGCACACGCTGGCTCGTGTTCAGCAGCTGTCAGCCAGCACTCCAGGCGTTCTCCCACTGGGCAGCTTTCCAGACACTCTTCCCCCAATCCGTAGTACTGCCTGGGATTGTTATGACCGTTTGTCACACTGGTCAATCTGCAGTCATTTGGGACCTCCCTGGTTTACCAGGACAGATGATAAATGATGGAGAGAGGCTTGGCGAGCTCTTTTGCCAGTTCCTTCAGTACTCCTGAGTGGATTCCATCTGCTTCATAGACTTGTGAGTGTCTAAGTGGCACAGTAGGTCACGAGCTACCTCATAACAGATTGCAGGGGAGGTTTTCTGCTCCCCAGCTCAGGGGACTGGTTGCCCTGAGAATAACCTGTCTTTGTGTTGAAGACTCAGGCAAGGAAGGCATTAAATACCAAGGCCTTTTTCTCATCCTTGGTTACAATGTTCCCCTCTGCATGCAACAAAGGATGGAGATTTCCTTTGGCCCTCTTTTTGTTGTTAATGCATTTATAAAAACACTTGTTATTATTTTTCACAGTGGTTGTCAGTTTGAGTTCTAGCTGAGTTTTTGCCATTCTAATTTTCTCTCTACATGACCTAACAACGTCCTTGCACTCTTCCTGAGTTGGCTGCCCCTTCTTCCAAAGGTTATAAACTTTATTTTTCCCTGACTTCCAGTGAAAGTGCCCTGTTCAGCCAAGGCTGGTCTTCTTCCCTGCTGGCTCACCTTTCAGCACAGGCCTGATCCTGTGCTTTGTTATCCTTGGTGCCAGAAGCCAGGTTAAAGTGGGTGGTTTAGGTGGCACCTGTGTGCAGGGGCTGGAAGGCCCTGCCGTGGTGCTCTGCTCTCAGAGCTGCAGTAGGCTTGGAGGGAAAGCTAGAGAGTGTTAAATTCAGTGAAGCAGCTTTGCGGAGGATTTTCAAACGTGTCCCCAAAGCCCTATGACAGGGAAAGAAAAAGGCAGGCACTGCCATGTGCTTTTTAATTTTTTTTTTAATAACGAGGGCTGGATTGTTGTTCAGCTTCTACTAGGAAGAGCAATCACAGGGAAGCTGTGATAGTGGTTATACAGAGTCATTGCCCAGCATGAGCACTGGTGGGAGGCTTTGTTGCATTGCTGTTTTAGGTGCCCTTTATAAATGAAAATCAATAGGGAACTCAGTGTTCACTCTGTTCATAAGTGTAGTGGTCTTTTTCTAATTTTAGTAGAGTGTTGTGATCTATGTAAATGAACTTATTTTTTGGAAATTGAATTTCTTTCAGTGCCTGTTCTCTTTGTGATTGCAGCAGTCCCAAGCCACCAATGATTTTATGAGCAGACTGCTGCCTGTAAAGAGTGAAGCTAGATCTCCACCATGACTAATCACTCCAGAAGTTCATGTACCTCCTCAGTCCAAGTGGAGCTCTCCACATATTATTGCTAGGTACTGTTCTTTATCCTGGTTCTACTGTGCTTTATTATTATAGTGTTTTGCTCTACTTAAAGTAGTAAAGCTTGAATCTTAACTACTCAAATCTGTTAGTTTGTCTGAGTAATACCCAGATAAGAAAAGATATTTCAGGACTGAAAATTAATTATTCTTTATTTATTCTGTGCTGCTATGGAATCTGAGGTTTATCTGTCCAATGTCTTCTGACTGCATTATTTAAGTTCTTCTTTCCCTACAGTTTTGTCTCATCTTCACCTTTCTAATTTAGAGTTTTGCCTCATCTTTACCTGTCTAATTTAGATTTTAAAGCAGTATAAGGCTAACTCACATCCCTGAAGCTCTTCCATTTAGGAAAGCAAGGTTCTTTTCCTTTGGCTCCTAATGAAGGTTTTACAAACAAACTAGTCTGGGAGAACAAGTTATTCATCCTGAAATTAGAGGTGATACTAAAGTGTATCTGATGAGCAGTATAGAAACTTACTTAAAGTTTTGTATGTTGATTGAACTTCATGCATTAGTGCCCTAACTTTAATATTATTTTAAGTGATTTTGAATTCTGACTCGTGTAGCACAGTGTTAACCTTGGTTAACATTTAATTGGTTAAATTAGTAGTCACTTTCTGGGAGAGCATTTGAGCATTTTTTTGTCCCTCTATGCGTATTAATTAGGTTGACTGTCATTGAATTACTTCTCTTATAAGCAATGGCTCCCTGTCACTATCAACAAATAAAACTAGCAGGGTTTAATGTAAAAAGATCTTGAAGATTACATAGCAAGCACAATCTGTATAACAATCTGAATTACACTTCTTTTTTTCCTACCAAAGTTTATTTGGTTTGGCTTCTTTACTACTTATATTTTTTGTCTCAGAAAAATAGTTAGATTTTTCAAAGCAAATGCTAGCAGCCATTTTTCTGGCAGTCATCATCTAATTTATGGCCTTGCATGACAGATTTTCTAGCTACTAGTAGTACAGCTACTACTGGTTCAAGAGTGGTGCAAGTATTTCATACATAGCAAGATACTTAGAAACATCAGCTAGGACTTTCTGTAGTACTGTGGAATCTCTCATTGAGACAGAAACTCTTAATTTTGTCTCAAACCCAGACCGTGGCTCAGTAAATAACCATCAGGAGGAAAAGAAGAGGCCAGGCCATTGGCAGACTTCAGATTTTATTGCCTTGATATGAAAGCTTGAACTTCCTTTCACAGCTGGTGCAGAAAGATTGCAGCATCCATCTGTGGTTTAGAGGAAGGCAAGAAGAGTTGGAGTGCAAAACTCTCTCTTCCTCACTTGTTCAGCAGTAGGGTTCATTTTTCAGAGTAGCCACAGATTCAAGAGCCCTGGGCTACACAAAAGTGTCAGAAAGCTGTCTGCCTATTGTTGGCAATTCAGAGTGGGAGTCACACTCCAAATTGTATTTTTTCAAACCATCAGGTGTTAGTCCATTTCCTCTTCACAACAGCAGTAGCTTTTTATAGCTAGTCTTACCTCTTGATCTGTAATTTAAGCAGTTAGCATTGATGCAGGGACACTGAAAATAGCATGAAACTGTTTATCTCCAAAACATGGAAAATGCTCCAAGTTTGGTTTTGCATGGGTGTTCTTTATGCAGAGCTGTTGCTTTAGCATTATTTGATCCCCAGTAAGCAGCACAGCCAGTTCTTGCTGTCTGGCCCTAAATATCCTGCTTCAAATCACTTTCATGCCTGTATATCAAGAGATTGCACATTCTCTAGGGTCCCTTTCTACCAGGGTTAGTCATGGCTGATGCCAGCCCTTCCCTGTGTTGTGCTGGCCACCTCTTCCCTTGAGGATGAAATTCCTTTGCAGTTCATACCATATGGACCTGGGAGGTGATTTCTGAAATAACCAAATCTCTTATCTGATGTTTTTTGCTACTGCTTTGTTGACACATTAGACCAAAATATCCTGACTTGTCTCTTAAAATCAGACAAAATCTCCTTCAATTAATATAATTTCCAGAAACAAAATTCTAGAATAGAGAAAAGTGAGACTTTAAAAAGTTATCTAATCAATGAATGGTTTTACCTGTGTAAGTTTTTGTAGAGGTTTGAGTAATCTGCAGTGGAGGCCCCCTAGACTTCCCATAAAATCAGTTCTACTGCATTCACCATTGTTATAATCAGAGTGTCCTTTCCAATATCTGACTTCCATTTTCTTTTCAATGCTCTCCCAGTTACTGATCATTTATAAAGAAACTACTCTTCAATAATTTAAACCCTATAAAGCAGCAATAAAGTAGGAAGTTGATGCAGGTAGAGGATTTAAATGATTTTTTTTTATTTTTTATCAGGCCCATTTATCTGATATTTGGATCTAAATGTCAAATTTCCTTTTTCCTTTTGAAGGTAAAAATTCCTGGTGGTTATAATGTGTTATGAACCTGAAAAACAGCATGCAATGGTTTAAATTCTGTAGTATATCTACTAAAATGTAATGCAAGTTGCTGATTTTAAAAACAGAAATATAGGAGATCTTGTATTTTTTTTTAAGGAAATGGCAACAGAATAGAGTTGCTTTTATAAAATCCGTTTCAGACTCTGTTAATCAATATACATTTATCATATCTGAATGGTAAACCTAATTGCATCATAATAACTAAATGGTTTTATATAACTTAATGTCTAGTAGTAAATCCATCTTTTCTTGGAAAAAAAGTTAGTTTAAAAACACAGATTTATGTGATAAATGATGCAACAATTAACTGCCTTCATTACATGCAAGTCCAAGTTAATAGCCAGATTCAATGTTCATGACTTTTTTTATTCGAAAGAGATATTTTTCCTCTTTACTGCTTTTTGGTGCTGATAAATGTGTCACAGGAAGTAGCCTCCAAACAAAGGAAACTCACAATTTTTCATACATGATAGTGTATCAAGTGCAAAATTAAATGGTGCAGACAATGAAAGGAACTGATCTCTGTGATAACATAATCTTAAAATAAGAACAGAAAGCTGTTATTTTGCTCTAAGATCTGTTTCTGCTGTCAGCTGAGAAATGGCAATGCATCCTTTGCCACAGGTTAACCAGAAGTATTGATGCAGAAGAATGAACTTCTTCAGGCAAGTCAGACTTCTACTCTGGAAGAACTGGATCCTTCGGAGAAGACAAAAGGTGAAGTATTAGTGTCTGGATTTCAGGTTTGAACCATGCACTCCACTGGAATAAGTGACTGGTACATTTATCAGCATGTAAAACTCTCAAGTGCCCCGAAGAATCACATGTGATCTTTGTCGGGGTCTGTTGTCTGGCATCTTGCCTGGTGCAGTTTGCAAAGCAGCTCTTTACAGACCAAACAGAGAATAGCTGTGTTGGGATTTTCTTTGACAAATAATATTGTGTATCAGAAGAACTATGGCTAGAAATATTTATGTATTTTCACATAAAAAGATCTGTCGCTAGAAAACATCATAAGCACCATTCAGCTCAGGAAGGTTTGCTTCCTAATTTTAGATTTGCTCTTCACACTCGGCTGCTCTTAGATGTGTTTCTAATTAGGACCTTACAGTTCACACAGATTGTGTCTTTTTTAGTCTGGCTGAATGACATAAGTAAATCAAAAGCCAGAAGTATTTTAAGTACTTTAAAATCCTCTTAGATCATATGATATTTCGTCTTACAGCAGGACTTCGTTGCAGAGTCAACAGTTGATCCACAGCCAATTTAAGCTTCTCACATTTATATGGTCTTATCACTGTGCTTACTCCATTACATCTGTCTCTGGATAGTACATTTCTCTGTGCAATTGCTGAAATTTCTGGCTATTTATCATGTGGTTCTGCAGGCTTATAGGCAGCTTTTTGATACTTCTAGTGAATTCTGAGACACCTTTGTGTCCTCTGGATAAGGTCTATAGGAAAGGATCAGAGGTCTGACAGCATTGGTCTGTCCTTAACACACAATGCATTGTGTACCAGGTTGAAAGAAAGCTTGCCTCGGGCTTCAGACTTCAATCTTTTCCAAACTAGTTAACTCAGAGAGAAAGGAGCTACCAAATTCAAGTCTGAGGATTTTGTATTTGCTGGCATGAAGAAAGAATCAACATCTGAACATTAACAAAGATTAACTCTACACCGTGAGCCAAGGAATCCTGCCAGTTCTTGCCCCTCTGAGTTTATGGGTGTTTAGTGCTTGTCCCAAATGATTTACCAAATGGGTGTCAATGGATCTTGATCAGACCTTGTGGACCCTGCTGGGAAGGGTCTGTAACACTGTATTCTGAGCTGTGCCCAACAGCTGTCAGGTTTCCTTCTCTAATAATTGTGTAATTTGCCCTTTGCTGCTGGAAAGATTTTGTCTGCTTTTAGAAAGATCAGACATACATAACTTCCCTAGATGGTGGTGGGTGGGTTTTTTGTTATTGTTCTGTTTTAAAAAGAAACCCTTAGGAGGAAAAATATGAAATAGCAAATTGTTGCCTGGTGTAAAATTTTCTACCCTTTTGCTGTAAGAATATGTTGTGCTTAACTAAAGCTATTAGACAAAATTATAGTGGAAAAATAGGGCAGCTCAAAAAAACCTGTTCTTAATTATCCTGTGGAGTGCCTTTTGCCCAAAACAACATTCACGTGTAACCCATCTTGTCTTTGGCCCTGCTTCTATGTGCATTATTATTACATATTTGGTACCTGGTTGGGAAGGAGGGAGCAAAGGTAAAGAAACAAAGAGTTTTCCCTGTGCATGTGCTACAACCCTGGTTCTGAAGATATTTTGTCCTGGCTCTTCCAGGGGGGAGCAAAAAAGTGCCATGTGTCTGGACACAAAAATCTCATTGCTGTTCCTCAGAGCACAAGGCCTGTGTTACAGATCAAAGGATTGTAGTTTCAAAGCTCTGCCAAAACACACAGAGGCAGTAAAACAAACTGAAACACAGGAGTGGAGGAAACAGACAAAACCAGGCAGGATGTTCTCTGTGGTAAAGCAGTGCCCTTGATTTTCTGACGTGACACAGGAGTTGGTGACTGTTCTAAGTGTATTGAAAGGTCTGGGCAATAAAGTGGCTTTTGATGGGGTCTTTTCTGTTATTGAATAAGGTGTTTGAACTTAATGCATACATTTCTACAGGTATTAGGAAATTAATAACATTGAAATGAATGATGACAAAAAGTAAAAGTAAAGGTCAAAGTATGTGAAGCTTATGCTGAAGTCTTTTACCTTTGGGTAAGCACAGTGTACAGACAGCCTGCTAATGAGCTATGTCAAAGTGTGGGTTTAAAATCCTTTTGTCTGTTTTATCTAATCCTTGTTGTAGAGTCATGCACTACCTGCTGCCTCTTTTTTTACCTCAGTCAGGATTCTTAGATATTCCTTTAAAAGAGGTGGAGAAGCCACTGAGCACTCAGTTAATGGTGATGCTTCATGACATTCTGATGAAATCCTCTTTTGGGTGTCCTTTTCAAATGGTGAAACAGGCAAAGGGATAGCCATGAGCTCATGCTGCACTGGGCTTTTCTGCTGTGAGAAGAGGTCTCATCTCTTTAGCCACCAAGTGACTCTATGGTGTCTATTTGTAAAATTGATTTTTAATTTTTTTTTTTCCCATTTTTCCAGCTTCGTTTTCTAGTGGAACTTGTATGGCCTCTGACATTGTTTCTTGCACTTGTCTGGCTGAGGAAAGCTAATCCACTGTATCGCCAGCATGAATGTAAGAATGTTTAAGATGTTATCATGATCTGACTTCTTATAGGTAATGGCCAGGTGTTCTCAGACAGAGGTATTGGGACCTGCTTGTGGACTGTTACTGTCCAGTGGTGAAAGAACAGACTTCAGTTCGAGTAGCTTAGTTATTTGTAGCCATGTTATGCCATGTAAGACTTACCAGTGAGGACATTAAAAAATGTCTAGTTTTCCTGTGAGGTGCTTTCTGGTCGGGGTCTCAAGATGCTATCTCGTTTTAGATTTCTGTCATTCTGGTACTGAGAAGGTGATACCTCACTACCTATTTAAAAATCCCTTTACATTAATAAGAATTAATTTCTGTTGAAAGTAGCCATATTGCTTATTTTGGTGACCCTTTCTTTCTCAGTAAAAGATAAACTTATATGATTCCTATCACATTCCTTTTGTAGATAGCCAACTCATCATGCTGTTTATATTCACAAAGGCTGCATTAGAAAAGACACCTAACAATTTATATTTTGTGTTTCAATACTCTAGGTCACTTTCCAAACAAGGCAATGCCATCAGCAGGAACACTGCCATGGTTACATGGCATCTTCTGTAACATGAACAATCCCTGTTTCCGCAGCCCAACCCATGGAGAGAGTCCAGGTGTGGTGTCCAACTACAAAAATTCCATGTAAGCAGAGCTGGATGTGTGAGACTGGGTTGCAGCAATACAGGCCTGCTAGGGAACTGCTAATAGCAGGTGCACTGGACGCCTGTTGGGTGTTCGTGGGCATGAATGATACAGGGAGAAAGGCTGGAGTATCCTCACCTTGCTTGGAAAGGTCTCTCACCACACCGAGGAATATCTTAAAGAATTGTTCTGTGGTGTGAATGAAAAGGGAAGATAATAATACACCAGTGTGCAAACAGTGGAAGACAAAAATTTTCAGTTCTAGCACTTTGGTTTCATGCTAACAGTGGTCAGCAAAGTTGAAACAGAGCTCCCGATTGTAGGTTTGGGCCTTTTAGAGAGAGACTTCAGTGCAAGTCTCTAGGGAACACATGTTCACTTAATAAGATCGGTAAGAACCTGCTTACTGAATGCATTGGGACAAACTTTTTTGATAAAAGAACATGGAATCCCTAAGCTTTCTTTTCTCATCACTAGAGTTGTCCCTTCTGAATGAGAGCTCTGGTGAAGTGGCAGCAAATAAGAACCTGCACTGCCACTTCTTATGTAGCACCTGCTATGGCTATATCGTTGTGAGACTTTCATCAGCACATAACCTGCAGATACTAAGCTTGTTTGCAAAATAGGAGGATAGGAGATTTTCAAACTATTACTGGAAAAGGGCTGTGGGAGTGTTTTATTGCATTGTTTGTTACAGCTGAGTCATGAAAGAAAGTAGAGCAGACAAGGACCCTTAGAGTGACAAAACCCCTGTCAGCCTAAATATAAAAAATACTCCAAATCTCCCTGATGCAAAATCCACTTTGGAGCATCCAGTGATTAAAATTCATGAGCTAATGATGTGAAGGCCACTGAAGCCCCTGTCATTAGAAAGTCTGTAACATGGACTTAACATTTGACCTTTTGCTCCTAGTGAACAGGAATTAAAATAGCCAGCTGAACATTTTTGGTGGGGTACAGTCAAACATACAGTGAAGCTAGAGGGTTCTGTACATTTTAGCTTTTCTAGGTTGCTTGTTAGAGAGCAAACTGTCACTTTGTCAGTAAATTCAGTGCACTACAGCAGAAGTAAATGCATTATGTTTTCTGAAAGAATTTGGTCCTTCCTGTTTGTTATTTCCTGTAAGCTAAAATGAGTCATGTGGACTGAGATACACTATTGCATGCATGGAAAAACATAATACTGTTAAAGAAGTGTAATGGCCTTGCCTGATAGTAAGAATTTTTTATGCTTGTTCATCTGGTTGCATCCTTGCTTGATCTGCATATTCTAACCCAGAAGCAGTAGTTGAACAGCTGCCTGTGATTATTTTTCACTTGTGTTTTCCTGCTCCTCCTAGAAGAAATATTCTGAGGAGATCTAACAAAATGGAGGGGACTGATGTGTGAGGGGAAGGATGTTTCTGTTTGTGAATGATTCCATGTCACTTGCTAGGCTAAGCATATGCCCAGAGACCCCCATTCAACTGCTGGAACTGGGCCTGGGCTAGAACTAGATTTGCACTATAACTGTGAGATACAAGTTGTCTAGGGAAGGTCCTGTGTCCCCAGAAAGACCAGCATGGCTAATGAAAAAATGTGTAGTGGCCAACCTTCTGCAACACCAGTAGTCCTCTTAAAACTTCTGTGGACTTTCAAATCTAACTGAACCCCAGACTATGTGAAACTGAGGACAAAACAACATTTTTTCCCTCATCCCTAACACAGAGAGAGTCAACTTTACTTTTTCTTTTCCTTTCTTTATTTTTTTTTTAGGTGTTTTCGTTTGTTTGGTTTTTGGGGTTTTTTTACTTGAAAGGTTCTCAAGAGCCATCATTCTTAAATTATTGTTTCTTTGTTATTTCTCCTTTCAGCCTTGCAAGGGTATATAAAGATGCTCAGGAGCTTTTACTGGAAGCCCCTGAAGTCCGTGACCTTGGAAGAATCTGGGAAGAACTGATCATTATGACTCAATTTATGGAAACAATGAGAACTAATCCTGAAAGAATTGCAGGTAATTGTTGTGTCTGCATCCTTTAGACTATTTAATTTTTCCTTTTGAGAGCTGGATAGTAGTTGCTTTGGAGACTGGCAACATTGTAATATATTTCACATGCAGCTGTTACTCTGCTTATTGTTAGGGTAAGTTAAAATCTGTTCAGTGACAAACACCTGTCATTTAAGGGAGGGAGGCAGGCAGCTCCATTCTACAACCATCTTCCTTAAATAACAGTAGACAAAACTCAAAAAACGTGGATATCTCACTACACAAAGTAAAACGTGGCTGAAGAAATGTCATTAATTATTATTACAGTAAAAGCAGAAGCAGTGAGAAAGTGTCACTGGAAGATGCAGAGGAATGGAAAATTAAGAAGATGTTTGAATATATGTCAGGAGCATAACCCAGAGAAGTGCTTAGAGGTACTATGTCACAATCTTAGCTAAAACAGGTTTGAAACATGAAGAATGTTCATAATGTGTTTAAAAAGAGAAACATTGAACATTTACAAACAGATTTGCAAATCACAAATTCATTGCATTAACTTTTATTTAAAGCAACTTGCCAAACTCAAAACACAGTTCTGGGAGAAATAGGGAATGTTATAATTGTAAATATTTTGGATTTGAAGTACAGAATTTGAACGGGTACTCCTAAAACTAAAGGTATAAAAATGGTCTGGGTTTGTAAATTGATCTGTCCCATTCTCAAATACTTTGTCACAGGAATAGCATTCTTTTTAAAATTAGTCACTCTCCATATATTTTTAATAGGATGTGCATAAACCATCTGATACACATGGAACACTATCCTATCAGAGGTTAATAACTAGAAGTAAAAAAGGGAGTATCTCCTTGTGAATAACAGTGAGACAGCCAAATGCCCCAGAACATAAACAAGAACTCAAGTATAAACTGAGCTGTTGTTTGTGCCCTGCCATAGAAATCAAACCTGACTATTCAGAGGTGAGGAAAAGCATGTCATGCCATGGGTTTGCTATGTATTGCTAAGGGACCACACCCCATGGTTGTGGAAGATGCCTTTGCATCCCATATCAACTTTATTCATGAACTGTAGAGAACATTTCCACCAGTCCTGTGACATATAATATTAATGCTTCTTCAGAATCTATGGGCATTTTAAATGTGTTTTACTTAAAAAAAAAAGTTTGGAATTTCCTGTTATATAAAACATAGTAAAAAAAATCAGTTCTGAAGCTTAACTAATAAAATATGAATTACCATCTTACTTCACACAGAAAAAGTTACTGAAAGATTAGCTATTTATTGGTCTGTGTTTACAGCTTACTACTATTGCTTTTAAGTAACATCTTAATAAAATAGCTGCAAAGTTGAGCAAGGAAAAATTTGCAAATATCAGAGTTGTGACTGCCCCTTCTACTGATTCCTGAAGTCAGACCTACCTTCTGAGTTCTCCTTCCTTGTCCCAGTCTCCCTTTGCTCTGACATTTTTGATGAGATGTGTTCTTGTGGTGTGCTTTTTCCTCCGCACTGCCTGGATGCCAGGAAAGGCATCAGTTAGAATATGAGGCACAGACCCCTGCTATTGTTTTCAGTGTTTACTGCTTGAATAAATATGAGGAGAAACAATTGAAGAAGTTCTCAAGCCCCATAGCCTCAGGCCAGAATATGCTTAGTGCAGATGGAATTATGGAAGTTAGTTGGCAAACTCTGATAAGACTCAGCTCACAGAATGGAGTGCATGTTTATTAGAAATGTCTAAAGCTATATTCTCTATGTCAGTAGGATACACATGGCTCCTGCCAGTTTCTGTTGTAAAGACTAGAACAATTAGAGCTATTCAAGCATTCTTTACCAAAATCTGTGGATGCTGTGCGAGGTACCTTTAATAAAGGTATCATTTAATAAAATTATAATAAATATCCAATGAACATGAGCAACGTTAAGTTTCCAAGCTTTTCTCTTGTACCATGTCGAGGCAGAGTTCTCACTGATAAGATCTGTAACAGACAAGTTTTAAAAGATTGGAACTATTTGACTTTAGGAGCAGCAGTATTTTGAGTACTGTTACAGACAGTATCAGGGAAATTTAGTGGCTTTTTACATGTGTCTAATTTGACAGTGGGTGGTCTCGCTGGTTTGCCTGAGGAGTAGTTGTTAATCTAGTTTAATATAAAGCATAAGCTACAGTTTATGCTTCTCCAAAGAAACTGAGTTTTTTCTCATGGAAGATTTTCAAGGGTCATTTTTGCAATGCTAGAGAATAAGGTTAACTAACTAAAATTGATTGAGAGCAAGTGATAAATTAGTGTAAGTTTAAACTTATTTGCACAAGGCTCAGAAGAAAGGACACTAAGAACAGTAGCATACTTGAATCTGAACATTTAAAATAAAGCATTACATCAGAAAAAAATCAGACACTTTCAAACGCAGTTGGGGCTGCTTTCAGTGTGTCCATTGCTGTAGTCCTAGTCTGAAACATCTTTGAGACATCAAATATGCAGAGCCAGAACACTCAGCATTTTCTGATTATCATTTCCCAACAAAGGATTAAAATGATTTTGGATTGCAAAAATAATTTTAGCCCCAGTTAGTCACGACTAGATATAAGAGCCAAAGCACATTATTTTTGCAGGTTTAAGCCAGGATGTGAGTTGTTCTTTAACTTCCTTTGTTTGGTATCTCACTGATCTGTGCATTGCTTTTTCATCCAGGAAGAGGAATACGAATTCTAGACATTTTGAAAGATGGGGAGACCCTCACTTCCTTCTTGCTAGAAAATGTTGGCCTCACAGATTTTGTTGTTTACCAACTTATTAATGCTCAAGTGCGCCCTGAACAGGTGGGTTGAGTTTAACAGTTACCAAGTTATCTGTGAGGAAATAATCTCCTAGCTGTATGTGCAAAGTAGCCTCAGTGAAGGCCTTGGGCCCAGAATAACTGCTGCCTTATGGGTCATTTGTACTATTTCTCTCTTTGTTTTTTGTGAATCTAGAGGAAGAGATGTTTGGTCTGTCTTGAAAAAAATATTTTGAATTCAATATTAATAAATTTTAAATTAACAGCGAAATTCTGTTGTTGCACTCAAATAATGAGCATCAAGAAACAGTACTGGCAAGTACTGCATCAATCCCCATGGCTGAAGACTTGACTCAAAAGCATAATGAAGCTGTGCATCCTTTTGAGATAATAGTCCTGATGAGAGAAGAACTATTGGAGGTTCTTGGTTTATAATTTAAATTCTCTGCCCTAATGTCAGCATGGTGGCTTTTTAGTATTGTCTTACATGAATAGGTGGAAGTGGAGAAGCAGGCCCACTTTCTTAGATTCTGATTGAGTAATAGATGTACTCAGAAAATTCAGAGTGAAAAGTGCAGGTCAAATCCCCCCTGAAGCAGCTAAGCAGGGAACTATGTTTGACCAAATCCAGGCTGCCTCTGCTTCTGCATGGTGGCTGGGAGCTCTGTGACAAATGCTATATTAATGAATGAATGTTGCTGAATTGGAATTTGGAACAATTTCTACACTGCATTAGTGTGGGTGGAAGCAGGTGGATGATTGAGGCTGAAAGACACAATTCCTCTGTTGCACTGCCACATCAAATGCAAATACAAAAACTATGTGTGGGCAGAAAGAGAGGAGGGCACTCATGACCTTTCATGCAGTTCCTTTTGTGCCTCACAAATTCCAGCTGGTGTGACCAGTAGCCAAATCACTTATCTGCTGTATTCTTGATTGGTACCTGGGGAAGCCCTCCCCTCTCCTCACTTTATCATGAAGCAAAACTACAAGATCATACCAAAGCCAGTGTCAATTGATACATCCTATGTATTTTCACACTTCCATGTCAGCTGAGATGTTGAAATTTGCTTCCTTGCTGCTTGTGACAAGGAGAATATATACAGATATCCTGCCGAGTTTCTCTTTCCCTATTCATCCCTAACCTTTTCTACACCAGAGGTCTGCTGTGTCAGGAGAACTGAGTGCTGCTGTGTTAGACTTTATTAGCTCCCCAGTGGCATTCTTTCATCTACTACTAAAAATTCTGCTTGCCAATGTATGTAGGACTGAAGTTTTCAACATCACCAAAAAAAATGATTGAAACCTCCTGAAATGTGGTATCTTTCTGCTGTATTTTCTGTGCTGATGTAGAAAGAGATGTAGTTCTCTTTATGCTGGATATTTAAAAAATTGAACATTGGAAGCTCGATGAGATCTGGTATTAAATAACACTTTTCCTGCCCTCTATGCAATTTCCTTGTTAGCAGTAATTACAGGGATACAAGATCATCTCACCAGAGCTGATGTACAACTCTGAGGAAAGAAAGTGCTGTGAATACTTCTTTCAGGTGAAAATGATGCAGAAAAACCAATCTCATAATTTTAAAGACACAACAAGAGAATTGTTTTCAGTAGGAATTGAACACTGCATTTTCTGTGGGAGATAATTTGCTTCATTCCAGTAGCCCTTCTTGATAAGCAAGTTGCTTGGGTTGGACTTAGGCATGGTTGAGGTGGAAGTTTTAGAGTCATGACTTGACCCTAGATCTATGGTTATCTTAATCCTCAACTGTGATAGCTCATCTCCAGTTCTTCCTGCTGCTCTGCCCTCTGTTAGCCTGCGTATTTCTGTATACCCCTTCCCCCTGCTGCTGCTGGCACAGAGCTGATCAACCTGAAAGCAACTTGTTTACAGAAGCCTGACTGTTGCCAACAGCTGGCTAGAGATCTAGGTCTGGGCCGCCTGGGAGTCAGGAAATGACACACAGAGCTGAAAGCTAAACCTGATCAAACAGCCAACTAGCTGAAAAAATAATTTGGACTTCATTCTTGCCAGCTTTGGCTAAACAGTGACACACTGATTTTTTTTAAAAAAGAAGGATTGAAGTTTCCCTCTGAGAGCCTTCTTTTTTGAGTCATTCTAAGATAAAGATAAGAAACTGATGTTAAAACACAATAAGAAGTTCAGGAAAGATTGGCAGCAGCATAGCCTACCGGAAAAATTGGAAGGGCGGAGGTTTGATGTTTTTCTAATCCCATCTGTTCATGAACATTATTGAAATGCAGTTACAGTTTGTAAATAACAACTCTTTTGTTTTTTCTGGGTTGAGCCTTCTCAGTGATGTTAATGTCACTGTTTCCTCATTTCACAAGTCAAATCAGGGTTCCCAGGCTGCCTCCCCATGCAGCCCAGTTCATTGCAGTTGAAGCTGCCTGAGGAGGACCATGCCAAATGAGGCGTGTATGGCTGAAAAATGCTGTTCTTACCACACACATCCCCAGGACACAAGTGACCGAGCAAATATGCAAATTATTTCACTGACATAAACTAACTTAATTCCAATTCAAATGTTCCAATTTGAGGGAGGGCAGGGCTGTGTGGGTTTGGAGGTTTTTTGCAAGATAAACTGGATCTGTCAGTTGAATTCCTTCTTTTGCATTCTGCCTCTCTCCACACTGTCTAACTTGTGTTAACAATGCCTTTATATCAGTACAGCTGTAGTGATGATAGGGCCTCTCAGATACTTCTAGAAATTCACATCCCTTTTTTGCATCATAATTCCAAAATATAATCTGTATGTAATTCAGAGGCCTTTCATTTTTTGTCAACTGCTGTTCCATAAGCTGAAACTCAGGGCAGTCATGGCAGATAAAATATAGTGTTATTCTAGACCTCTCTGCCTTTCGTGTTCTGGATGCTGATTTTCCAGAGCCACACTTGCATTTTGGTTAACGGCTTCTGACAGATGAAGCTCTTAATGAGTAACTCCTCAGTCAACTTTGAGTCCGCTCTCCAAACCAATTAAATTAATTTTTTTCTCATTCCTCTGGTTTTAAAAAATATTCTCTTTACAGGCGCCACCAAACAAGTCTTGGCTGCTAACTGTGGGAGTTCTGCACATTATAAAATTTTGATAATGATGAATTTCTTAATTTGCTTAGACAAGAAATAAATGTGCACCAGTATCTGACTTAGTATAGGCCCTTTTTTTTTTTTTCCTTAGAGTAAGTAACAGCAAAAATATAACTAACCTGATCACAAAAGGTAGAGTGATGTAGTACCATCATTTGGTCCTGGGAAAATAGTTTCAAACAAGCTGCAACTATCTCTCCTTAGCCACAGGCATAGGTGGCATGGCTTCAGGTGTGCTTAGATGACAGTGAGGAAGGGAAGATGACTCACAGGAACTTTTGCAATTAAAGGAAAACTTGCTAATGAGAAGAGGAAAAATATGTCTGAAGGCAAGGTGATCTAGTACAACATCAAGTGAAGGTGATTCAAGGGTTGATGCTTCATTTGACCACATCTCCCTGCCATTCATTAAAATATTAGCAGGGGCTGAGATCAAACTGTCCACTTTCAATAAGTTTTAAATTGTTCCTGAGCAGTATGCAAGTTTCATAATAGTAAGTGAAATACTGTTTTTGGTTGCAGTTTGCCTATGGTGTCCCTAACTTGACTCTGAAGGACATTGCTTGCAGTGAGATGCTCCTGGACCGCTTTATAATCTTCAGCAGCCGAAGAGGTCTCCCCTCTGTACACAAGGCCATGTGTGCCCTGTCCCAGGACAGTCTTCAAAGAGTAGAAGATGCCTTGTATGCAAATGTTGATTTCTTTAAGCTATTTCAGCTGGTAAGTATTAACACAATTAATCACAGCCCATTCTGTCTTTGCTCCGTCCAGTAGGACAGAATTTTATGCTGCAGTCAAAGTCATGATGCAGCTTGAGTTGGCATAGCCCTGTGAGCCATTTGAAAGAAACCCAAACCAACCAAACTAGGAAGTTGTACTGGCTTTCATCACTCTTTCTATAGAAGCTTTTCCTTACCTCTCTTCATTTTCTTTGCCCTTCTTATTGTTCCTGTTTCTACTGTGACCTTGCTATAAATTAACCACTTCTGCAGCCTTGGTTTAGTATGGAGATATTATGCCACTTTATATATATGTATAAACATAGGTTAATATTATTACTTTAAAATATATAATAAAATACTAATTATACTGAATGAATACATATAAATTGACATATTTTTCTAGTATTTCATTTGTATTCTGCATACTGGGGTGGTGCTTTCAGAGAACTATTAATAAAAGCTCCAAAGGTCTCTTTCCTCATGATAGCAAACTTAAGTGTCCATGACTGTGTATATATCTTTCATGTTTGTTTTCCCTATGATCATGCTTTGCACTTTTCAACACTGAATTTAATTTGCTGTTTTTCACCTTGTAATGTAATGTCATGAAACCATCACATTGTCAGTTTCCTTTATACGAGCAGGCAGGATATACAAAAAACTCCTCTAGTTGCATAGGAAGTATTGATTGGACTCTTCTGCCACAGCAGTGTAGCACTATGATTAATTTAATATGGATTTTGTTTGGCTCTGAGTTTCCCAGAACTGGGAACAGAGGATGCCAGGAGCTGTATTGACACACCAGCAAAACACAGTTTGATTATTGTAGCATTGATAGTCAGTAATTGTGCCCATGTGATTTAAGCAACCCTGACAAGGATTTGTGGTCAGCTTTGGAGAGCCACTCTTTTCCACTCCTAAAAATATATTGTCTTATGTTTTCATATATCTTATGCTTGCTGGAAGTGGCAGAGAATTAATACTACACTATTTCTAAGATAGATTTTCAGTATTTGAGGACTTCATGTGAATATTCGCAATGTACTATCCAGCTTTTTTATAAGTTTACAAATCCCGTTCCTCAGAGTTTTGAAGTGACTAGGTTAAGGCAGGTGCTCCAAGAACCCTGTATAATCTTTGCACAGACTGGTTCCTCTTAGGGGACAAGGAAAAGTATATTTTGAAGCCCTGCATGTTTTCTTCCTGTCTGAATGTCAAGTGACGTATCAGAACATGCTAACATGAGCTTTCCATTAAAAACTTGCCTTTGTGACACCCTGCCGGGTACCTACACAGTGCAGCTTTCTTCTGCTTTCTTAACCACCTACTGACTGAAGGCAATGGCAGGCAATCAGCAGGATGTATAGGCGTTTTTGGGGAAGGCTTTTTGGGGGCTTGTCTCATAAGTATCACAGTCTAGCTATCTACAAGTCCAGCTTTATGTTTTGTTGAAATAGCAGAAGAAATGCCTGAGAAAGCCTCGAGAGTGCCAGCTCCAAGTGCATATGTGATTCTTTAGACAGCTGACAAAGAAGGATGCAGTAATGCAATCAAAGTGGTATGTGACAGCACAGCATGGTCACCTGTTTATTTTAAGTCATTGATAAAATGTTAGCTTCTACTGAGAAGGCAGTTTGGTCAGTGTGCAGGAGCTTAGGAAAGTAATGGTTTCTCTCAGGTTTGACAGACAGTCCAAAGTCAGGAAATCTCTGAAATATAAAGTTCTACAAATTATCTATCTCCATGGCTCGTGGGTGCTTCTGTATCAAACCTTAGCTAAATTTGGAAGTTACCAAGAGTCTGTATATCTCACTGGAAAAATAGCCTCTCTGAGAAGCAGATTCTCAAATGTGCCAGTTCCTGCATTCCTCCAGAATTTTTGCACCTTTTGTCTTGGTGGGCTTAGATGAGTAGAACAAATCCCAAGATATATTTTAAGTGGCCTGTTTCAGCTTTGTATTAGAAAGAACATTTACATAGACTGCTGTATGTCTGCACATGGGTACAGTATTTATGGCCCCATAAGACAGGCTTATAAGATACTATTCTAAATAATTCAAGGAATTTGAGCTACAGAGATGCCATTTGGATTTTCTTCTCATCGTTATAACTGTTGTCATGTAGAAGCTTGTCGTTATTTTTTATGTGTCCACAGCTTCCCACTGTGTTGGACAGAAACTCACCAGGTGCTGACCTGAAGGCATGGGGGAGGGTGCTGTCTAATGTCTCCCAAGCAGTGCAAAAGGTAAGTGGTCTAATAATGGATTACATCACTTTCCTGCATAGCTCATAGTCCTTGTTTTCCTTTGTTGTTTTTATGTTCCAGTTATCTGCTTTACCAGAAAGAAAATAGACTTGTTGGGGAAGAGCTGATTCCTTAAAAATTCATTCTTCTCTCATTCCAAAATAAATGTGGACATAAGCATTGGCAATTCTCAAGTGTATTCTTTTCTTCAGAAAAGATATGAAAGAACAAGAACTGAAAATGGTGCCTGTGACCCGGGCAGAGGAGAGGAAAAGATGAGGTTCTGATTGCATTCACACTTTACCATTTGGGCACAGCTGTGACCTCACCAGATACCTGCTTTGAGGGCTGCAATTAACCAAGTCATGTCTTACTGCAGCTGGCCAGGAAGCCAAGTGTTCAGGACCTTTTGAGGGTTCTGCAGCCATTTGTACAAGATGGAAGGTCAGAATCCTTAGGCCACTTGGTGAGTTCCCTGTCGGATCTTTTCTGTGGCTACCCAGAAGGAGGTGGATCCAGAGTGCTTTCCTTCAACTGGTATGAAGATAACAATTACAAAGCTTTCCTGGGGATTGACTCAACAAGGAAGAAGTCTGGTTATCTTTATGATAATACAACCAGTAAGTTTTCTCACCAAACCATTAAGAGACTCTTGACAGGTGCACCTTATGTTCAAGTACTAGCATAGAATGTTGCTTTTATAAATAACATTTTAAAGCATTTGATTCAGGAAATTAGAGTCAGGTGAAATTATTTTACTTCATACTTGCTTCATAGCTGGAAGCAGAGAAACCTGGGAATTGACATCTGACAGAAATACACATTTGCTTGTAACATGGAGGCATAAATATAGGCATGATCATAATTAAGACAGTCCTCTGTTTTATCTCCTATTATATGCTACTGATACCAGGAAGAGCAAGATGCCCCTGAAGAAGGTTCAGGAAAAGACAGTGTGGCCTTCTGGAATTACTTTTCTTCAAAATATTTTTCTAAACTTTATTTTTTCTCTTAACTTGTTTGATGGCCTGGGGCACAGGAATTTAAAAATCTCTCATTTCAAATAATAGTCAATTTGATACATGTTATCTTCCTGTGTAAAAGTACATCTGTTTTGTAGTAGTAGTAGTAACATAGTACTAACGTTCTCCCATTATGATTGCATAGAAAATATTTCAATTTACCATTTTCTTTTGCTTTTATTTCCTCACTATTTATTTCCTCCTATTGCAATAGGATATAATGCAAAGAATAACTAATTTTTTTACCACTTGTTGTTTTGCCTTTCCATTATGTCCCTTTCTGTTTGCTATTTAGTTTTTCTCTACACTGAGCTCACCAGCAGTTTTTTCTGTACTACCACTAATGTTATAGTTGGTAGTTCTGTGTCCCTGCTGCTATGATGGGTATGACTGCATGGTTACAAAGTAGAGATGAGCAGTTTGCTTACAGGGACTCCTACCTTTCACTGTTTGTGTTGATACTTGGCTCTACTTATGTCTGAGACCTCCAAAGATCTGTAAAAGTACTCCATCTCTTCAGCCAGGAAACAAATTAATTGAATGCTGTCCAAGTAAACTAATTACTTCATAGTGCAGGGGTAAGATAAAAATATTTACATTAAAATGTTTAATTTAAAATTATTGTAGGATCCAGTTCTGAACTGTTCTGGAGTTCAACATCTAAGCCTGCAGGATCAGCTTTGTGTCAGTATCAGCTACAATACAAAGGAGCTAAGTCATTAGGAGTAAAGCAAATAAAGCTCAGACTGCTCAGTGAGTTCTGAGCTGTGTTGTTTCCTTCCATTTGAAATACCATGTAAATAACAGCAACTTTCAAATGGTTATTTATGTTTGCTTTTCCAATTTCCATAGCATATTTTACAATTCCAATATCTACTTAATAGTCTTTTCTATCCATTCAGTCATTGTACTTCTGCATTGCAGAATATGCTTTAACTCATTCAGATTCAAACTGTCTGTACTGCTGTAAAAAGCCCTGCAGGATGTTATGTGTGATAGGATTTTAGTAGGGTTACATAAAGACTGTCTTTCTTTCTGTCTTTAGCACCCTTTTGTAATGCATTGATCCAGAACTTGGAATCAAACCCTTTAACCAAAATAGCCTGGAGTGCTGTGAAGCCCCTGCTGATGGGAAAAATTCTCTTTGCTCCTGATTCACCTTCTGTACGGAAAATCATAAAAAACGTAAGAAATTCTGAAATACAAAAATGTATATGTCTAAATGTTGAATCTCAAGAAACATCTTTTGAAAAACAGTTGCCCAGTTACCTCAGCCTAATCAGATTTTCTTCTCAAAACTCCATTTGTTCTGATGGTCCTCAGAGGCAGGACTGGTACTATTTAAAAAACAGGAGACAGGTCTTCACTGATTCATCCCATCTTGCTCCATGCTGTATGGTTTTTCCAGCTCGCCCAAGCAGCTTTTTGTTGGCATGATTCCACATTTACACTAGTAAGCATAGTAGTATTTATTTTTCAGAAGTAGGAACATGAGCAGCTCTGTTCCATTAAGTATTTAAATGGGGCAACTGTGAGGCTTGGATAAGCTTATTGAGAACTGAGATATTGCAAACTAATAGCAACATCATGATTTATTATTTAATCTTTTGAAATCATAAAGAATTTTCACTTCATTAAAATAGGATGGAGCCTAGACTCTTCAGCAAAATGCTTGAAATTGGGTGAAATTAATCTGAGCAGTTAAATCAAGGTTGCAGATGATTCAGGTTTTGGCCACTTCATAACCAGCAATTCACTACTCTACAGAACTGCTGCTCAGCGTTCACACAGAAAAACATCAGATTTACAGCAGCTCAGCATTTCAGGTCTTTACATCATAGCTGTGGGAATATATGTCTTTTCCAGCTGCCTTCAATTCATTCATCTATTCACATCATTATCTTTCTTTTTAGTTCTGACTGGAGAGAAATAGTCAAGGGGAAAAATTCTAAATAATTATACCGAAAATCTGAGTATTTAAAGGAATTGAATTAGGCTTAATGTGCAATTGTTTCCATTACATATACCACAGTATTTTATCCTAAGTGACTTTGATTCTGGCCGGATTTTACAGATCCTTTTTTGATGGTTATTAAAATTTCTGCTATTTGAACAAGTTGGTTAAGTTTAAAAGTTAAAACTACAGCTGTCTAGTTTAGGGGTTCCCCTGTCACCAAATCCTGGGTGGATCATAAATTCTGTATATCTCCTTAGATTTCTAACCCTCTTTTCTGCTGGTTTTTCATCAGGCAAACTCCACTTTTGAGGAACTTGAACGTCTCCAGCTGTTGACCAAAGCTTGGGAGGAAGTAGGACCTCAGCTGTGGTACTTCTTTCAAAACAGCCTGCAAATGAATATGATCCGTGTATGTAATAACTTATCAAAGATCCTCAGTAAGAGCAGCCTTTCACCATCTTTTATTTTTATTAATGGAGAAGACAATTAATTTGAAAGGTTTGGCCAGAAACACAGCCTTTGCAGCAAGGAAGCTGTGTCCTTTAAGGCTTTTGACTGCTGAGCTTGGTTTGAAGGCAAGTCAAAGATGCATTACATCCCTGTGGCAGAACCTCAGATCTGGGCAGTCAGGAATCTGGCTAATGATTTCTTAATAAAGGCAGCAATTGCTGCTTCCCTGCCTCCCCAAAATGTCTTTCAAGAACAGACAACTTAATTTTCTTGAATTCTGTGTAGGCAAAGAAGGCCATGAGACCATACTTTTTCTGGGCCAGAAAGAAATTTATTTTGGGAAATTGCTTATTTCTGCATCATTAAATTTTACTTTGATCATCTGCAATTACTGTCTGTAGTTAAAGTTTATAAAGCAGTTCATACTAGAAAAAACATTTGGTTTCCTAATTTTTCTATATTGTATTAGACATTTATAATGTTTATCCTCTTGCTTATAAGGAAAGAATACAATAAATAGTCAAGGAAAAATTTCATCCATTCTTCAGATCACACATCCAGTTATGCAATTACCTATTTGTAAAATTGATTCCTTAGCATACCCTTTTGTCCTTGTTCATGTGTTGAAAGAGTTATGGAAATGGAAAGAAAGACAATCATTGTGGCAGAGCTGTCATGATATGTTTCTTCAGGACTCTCTGAAGCACCCTACAGTGAGGGACTTCCTGAACAGCCAGCTGGGTGCAGAAGGCTTCACTGCAGAACACATAATCAACTTTCTCCACAATGGATCTTCAAGGAGCCGGGAGAAGGGAATGGTGGACTTTGACTGGAGGAACATCTTCAATGCTGTAGACCAAGTTCTGCGTTTGCTCAGTCAGTATTTGGAGGTAAATCTCACCCTGCCCCTTCAGGGATATCTTAAAACCAGTTTGGCAGTACTGGGCTCTGTGGTAACAGACAAGAAAGTTAAAATCATAAAATCTTTGTTTCAAGTTAAGTCTCATTATTAAAAGCACGTGTTTAGAATAATACAGTTCCACAAGTACATAAATACTTATTATTTAAAAAAAAGTTCAATTTGATGATCTTCAAATGCTTTATTCAAAATGTTGATTTGAATGTTTGAACGCATTTCAATACTAAGAGGGAGAAAGTGAATGCAAAACCTCAAAGGAATTTTTTTTTTAAGTATCAATAACCAACAGGCCACTAATTTCAGCAAGGTCAGGAGCAGAGAAACTAACAGTTCTTTGGTAAGCCCCTTGCAGGTTGTTAAGCATCTGATCAAAATTCCATTGAATCCAATGAGGGAATTTCCCCTTGTTCTGTGGTCACTTCTGATGTCTGTCTCTTTCCTGCTATCTGTACCTCTCTTCTCTAGCATGTTGCTTTCAGTGGTGACTTCTGAGGATTTTGGAGAGAAAATCGGTACTAGTTACAGGCAACAAGACTAAGCCTAACTTCTAATTTCAATCCAGTTAAGTCTAAAAGATCATTTGTCCCCTACAAGAAGATACAAACTGGAAGTTTATCTGTTTTCCTACAGCTAGTACAGCTAGAAGGAACAATAAAGGCTTTGCACAAAGCTCTGCTGATTCATTTAATGATTTTTTATATCATGTTAGCAGAATTATTTCTTGTCAAACTGAGTGAAATATACTGCATGCAGCAGGTCAGTGCTGGAACATCAGTAACATCAGAACACTTACTGTACCTGCTAATAGATCTTTGTGTCCTAATGCTCTTTGTAATGAGCTTATTCTTTAGGTCTGCTCTTTACACGGAGTTGTAAGCACTTGAGAATGTTTTCCCACTGTGCCAAACACAATGGCAACAAATAGCTCCCTTTGAAGAATAGCCTGCTCCTTGCCACCATAGTATGCAATAAGGACAGGTGTGTTGCCAGCACCTATCTTTGGTGACTCCAAGTCTCTGCTGCAAAGTGTGATATAGCTGAGAATTCCTCGCCACCCCCAGAGTTTCCTGTTCTTCCCTTTGATTACCTTAGGCCACAGAACAGCTAAACTGTTAGTGAGAGCTATGCAGTCACCTCTTTGTGTTGATTATTCTCTGCTTTTATTTTCCAAACCTGTTCTTATTATTTTGGTTTGGGGTTTCCCATTTTCACTGGACCATTTAAAATTGTTAAATAATTACTGAGAGGAGATTTGAAATAAATTTCCCCAAGCAGTTGATAAATTAATTTTGATATAGTGAGGTTTATGAAGATACAAACTGAGTTCAAATTCACCAGTGGAAAAGAAGAGCCTAGGAAGAGCATACAGCCTTTGTTTTGAATGCAGTTTGTCTTAAGAGAAATAAATTCTAGGTTTTGGCTTATAGATTACTATATAAAATGTCTTTTCACTTTCAAACTGTGTGCAACACTCCTGTCTTGGCCTATGTTCTTATACAAGCTTTGGTTTCACTCTACTCATGGGGAAGATCTATAAGCATTTGTGTTTGCTGTTTTGAACACTTGCACCTTCCTTTACTGGACCCCTGGATAAGAGCCTATGCTGCTCCTCAGGCCACTCCAGGCACTGTCTGTTCTGCAGTGAAAATCTAGACAAGTTTAGTTGCTGTCAGTACTTTGCCAGTATCATTCTCACAGATTCCCCTAGAGAACTGTCTGAGTTCTTCTGCAGCTGAAATAAGTATCTTGAAAATAATTCCTCCTGATAAAGAAACCACAAATAATCCTGCAAACTCTGCAAGACACAGTTCTGCAGGAGGGGTTTGTTATGCACACACTGCCACTTTTGCAAGAACTAAACTGAATTCCTAAACTCAAGTCAAAACCATGTGGGATAAATGTATCCCAAAAAAATTAACACAACATGAGCCATCAGTCTGATTTTATTTTTCTTCTGGCATGCTAAGTTTACTGTCTTATTTTGTTTTCTGATATGAAATTCTACATTCTACCTTCTGAATCAAAAAGGAAAAACCCTACAATACCAGGAAGAATAAAGCCACAAAATAGTTTTATCAATTTAAGCACTGTTGTGAGTTAAACATATATTTTCATATAGATCCCATTAAGCTATGATAGTACCAATTTTAAAGGAAACATAGCATGATTTCTCACAGGGAAAGGTTAAGTAAAGGAGTATTTAAGACTAAATAACAAGTTATGTAATAACAGTATGAGCTCTTTCATGTGGACTGATTTTTAGTTATTGTCTTGCAAGAAATGATTGAGAAGATAAGATCAAACAAGTTAGCCTGTTGGAATTTTATGAAGCAAAGGAATTCAATAAGTATCTTTCCAGTCCATCAGGGGTTAAATACTTCTACTCTCTGTTAATATTTTGCCAATTCTGAAGGGCAGAAGCTAAATATACAAACATAAATCTGTTATTTTACAGACAACTAATGCTAGAGTTTATAATATTCACAATCTTTATTTTACAATGCCTGCTAAGTAGGACTTAAATGGAGGAACACAAGGAACTTAGGTTTTGATGAATTTTTGTCTTGTATATGTATTGATAAGAATACTGTTTGTAGTAATGACAAAGACTAAGAAAGAAGACTTTTTTGTTATTTGAGATAGCCAATAAAAATGATAGGTTAACTTAAGTCAGCAGGTAAATCGTGTGTCAGAATTCAGCAAGGATTCACAATGTGTCCAGCTAAATAAATCAGTGACTTCTCTGGTGTTATGTAGGAATAAATGTCGAAATACCTAAGAGACATTAAAATTCAAATGTATGCTCTGACTTTTCCCAGCGCTTCACTTGGCAAAGGACTTTTCATCTGAAGTCCACAGCCAATGTTCTTTTCTTACAGATCATTCATCCTTTAGCTCTCTAGTATTCACTCAGGCATTTCCTAGGCTGAAGAAGGGAGGAGAGAGTCAACTTTTTATAATTTCATCATAAAGCTGAAAATAACTAGAGTTTCAGTTGAACCTACTTTCCTTTTCTGTTTTTAACCACTGATGTTTGCTTTAATGTATACCTCTTACTATTTTATTCCCATGCAATTTTTCTCTTTGTAATTATTTGTAGTGTTTGACCTTGGATAAATTTGAAGGTTATCTTGATGAAACTCAGCTGACTCCTCAAGCCCTTTACCTGCTGGAGGAAAATAAATTATGGGCTGCTGTGGTTTTTCCAGACTTAGAACCTACAACCAACAATCTCCCCCCACACGTGACATACAAGATCCGAATGGATATAGACTCAGTGGAGAAAACAAACAAAATCAAAGACAGGTACTCACCTGATAGTTACTTCTCAGTTCTTGCCTCCCATAACATAAATATGAGAGACATAAGGGTGTTAGAACCTGTGTTGGGTACATATGTGAAATCCAACTTTATTTGTTAATGGTTACTCTGTAGTGCAGCACAGAATCCAGCTCAGTTACTAGGTACTAACATGAATGGTATCACTCTTGTGACAAGCCAAGCAGTGGGTAGGTGCAGGAATACAAGGCAAAGGGATGACTCTGCTCACAATCTGTTCAGTTAACCTGCTTCAGTGTTTGGATGGCCCCACCATTGGGAAAGACAGACAAAGAAGTCCTCCATGGGTTGTGACTCAGCTCTCCTCCACCTGGACAGCAGAACTTCTCTGCTGTTCCTCCTCAAGTCCCCACCAAATAGACTCACTTAAAGGGATATAATTTCTCAAGATTGTCTACAGAAGAATATAATGGTGTCTGGTAATTGCAATCCAGTTGTTCCAGTTTAATCTCCAAGGATACCATATTCCAAATACAGTTATTTCTATTCTAGAACAATTACTCTGCTACATGACTAATTTATGCACATTTTTGGCCAAAATTGCTATTCCAAGTCAGTGCAGAGAAAATGAAAGGAAAAAGAAGAGCCTTCCACTTTCTTAAGCAATATGGTCTGATATACCAAAGTCTAGAAAAGACAACTCTAGGCAGTGTCCCTACAATTTCAGTTGCTAAGATTATTTTATTTATTTACTCATTATTTACTTACTTACTTGCCCCACAACCTTTCCCTAAAGTCAGTGCTTATCCAGGTGGTTTCCATGTGAATTTTCTTTTGAGGTACTGGGATCCTGGTCCAAGAGCTGATCCTGTGGATGATTTACGATATATCTGGGGAGGCTTTGCATATCTCCAGGACATGATTGAGCATGGGATTATAAAGACACAAACAGGCACTGAAGTGCCATTGGGAATTTATCTGCAGCAAATGCCATATCCATGTTTTGTGGATGATGTGTGAGTAAAAGCAGTTTGTCTTAATTCTATTGAATACTTGGATTGCTGGATGGTTTAAGATTCTCAATCACCATAATTAACTCTAAATTATGAATGTCCTAATGTATAAATACAAGAGTAATAACTGAGAAACAACTGAATTAATTTGGTTTTTTCCTTATCCTGTCATATCCCTGACCCCACAAGCCACCTTTGCCAAGATTCTATCCTTGATCCCACTCTGGCCCTTGTTGCATCCAGTGTCCAGGCCTAAAATGAACTCAATACACTACCCCCTTAAAAGCAGCAGTTTTTTTCCAATTTTCTTCCCTGTTCACCGTGTGCCTGCTCCAGTGCTGCAGTCTGTGATACTCCAGTTCTCTGAAGCTTGCAGTAGCCACATACAGTTCAGGACTGACCTCCAAACTCAGTGATGGCCTCTGCAGAGACCCTGCCTAAGTGAGGCAAGTGCACCTTCCTGGTGACCTGTAGGCTGTGCTGTGCATGGCCTAGTGCTGGCTACATGTGCCCTCCAACAGGCAAAACTCAGTGTGCCCTAGGCCACATCACAAAAGCGTGGCTTTGTTTCTCCAGGCCAGATTGCTTTTCAGGAATTTTTGGTGAAAAAATGAAGATTTTCCCTTTGTTTTGACACTGATGTAGCTTTGATAGTATATGGCAAAAACGTAGTTCTATAGGGCGCTGACTTAGGTAGCTGAAGACTTTTTGCTCTTTGCTTTTAGCAGCTATGAGCTTTTGGCCTTTAAACAATCAACACCTGGTTCCACAAACCCCATAATATGTAGCAGTGTTAATTGGTAGTATTAAATAGCTCACATAAAGATGAGCAAGTACCCTGGGAGCCTGAATAATAAAACCATCCACATCAATCCCCTAGGGAGAGGGAGATGTATTCTCTCATCTTCTTCACAAGATTACTCCCCAAGCGCAGCAAGGCCATCAATGCCAGGGAGACATTTTTTATGTTAATGTGTTCCCAGACTCAGCAAAATAAAGAGATAAACAGTGCAGTTGACAAGCTGTGTCCTGCACAGGACCTTGCTTCACAACTCCTGTAACTGTAGAGTGCTTAATAGAAAACTGCCTCTGGCTCAGCCCACATTGGCTGCCAAGGGCTGTGCTGAGTTGACCTTGACTGGATGCCAGGTGCCAAGCAAGCCTCCCTATGACCCTCTTCCTCAACAAGAAGGCAGAAGAAATTAAGATGGAAAACAACTTGTAGGTCAAGATAAGACTCTTTACTAAAGCTAAAACAGAAAAAAAACCCCAAAGATTTATTCACTATTTCCCATCCAGCAATGTCCAGCTGCGTCCTGGGATTCAGCATGCATAGCAGTTGCTTTGGAAGACAAATGTAAATATCAAATACCCACCACTTTCTCCTCCTTTTTCTTAGATTTTATATCTGAGCAATATGGAATACCCCTTTGGTCAGTTTGGGTCAGCTGTTCTGGTTGTGTCCCCTCCCAAGATTCTGCCCAGCCCCTGCCTAGTGGTAAAATGGGAATATTGGAGAGACAGCTCTGGTGCTGTGCCAGCGCTGCTCAGCAGTAGGCAAAACACTGGTGTATTATCAACACATTTCTAGATATCCATGCAAAGCCCAGTACTGTGAGGGGCTGCTATGGGGAAAATTAACTCTATTTCAGCTAGATCCAACACCCTGACTCATGGTTTGCATGAATTTCAGCAGCCTAGCTGGCAGCATATGACACTTTTAATGACTTATTTATTTCTCTGGTCAGTGAATCTTGGGAGCAGAGAAACAGTGACACTCCCATATTGTTAATTTTTAGCATATGTCTTAAAATATTATTTGTAGAGCACAACAAAAGCATTATGGAAATTGACCATGAAGAGAGATGTATTTTCATGAGGCACCAAGTATTTTGTAGCTTTCAATAACCTTTAGAACCTCTTTGTAAAACAGAAATAACATTCATCTGTCTCATAGGAAGGCAGAAACCATTACTCTGTTAATATTTAGGATGCTTGTAAGGTTTACTAGTGAAATGCTGTTGACTGAGAATTTACAGTTCCTTATTTAATGAATGCACTCTTCTCCACTCCTTTTCATTTTTGCTTTTCATTTAATATTTCACTGTTTTACCTAAATTTGATTTATTCTTTCTTGCTTTGGTAGCTTCATGATCACCTTAAACCGCGCCTTTCCCATCTTCATGGTGCTAGCTTGGATATATTCAGTGTCCATGACTGTGAAGAGTATAGTGCTGGAGAAGGAAATGCGCCTGAAAGAGGCCATGAAGAACAGGGGCATAACCAACGGAGTGTTTTGGTGCACTTGGTTCCTAGACAGCTTTTCCATGATGGCTGTGAGCACATTCCTCCTCACAGCTTTGATTATGGTGAGGATTGCTACTCTCAAACTCACCCTTGTGTTTGCACTCCTGATACCAATTTGCTGTTGAGAAAGAATAGTAGCCATTGGTAGGGAGATGTGAATGATGGAGGCCTGTTCTGACCACAGCACGTAGCAGGCACATTCTTCTATGCAGACCTCATAACAGAGTCAGCACTGGGCAGAGACAGAACAATAAATTCTCTAGTAAAGATTTATTGTGAGATCCCTCATAGAAAATACATCAGGCTGGTTACTCTGTATACTGTATTTTCTGTAGGTAGATGCAGATCTCCCAGTAAAGAATAATTGTTGCTTTAAATCAAAGAGATAATAATTTGCAGGAATTTAATATTTACGTGATTAATTTTTAATATCCAGTGCTTGTCTGCTTAGAAACCGTGCAACTATTTCAATGGAAACAGAGACTGCAAGAAAAGAACTTTCAGAAAAACCTAAAAAAATTCCACCTTTTACTCCAGTGATTCAGAATTCCTGTAATTTTTATAACTTTTCCAGACAGTTCGGATGCTGTCTCTGAGGACTACCTATTGTCTCCACTACCTGAGAACTAAGCTCTATATTGAGAGCTTGCTGCTATACTTTATCATATAAATGTGTAGCATTTGATAAGGAAGAATGTCCTTGCATCTTTTCTGATGTGAGGAACTGCTGTTGGTATAAATACATAGTTAGGGTTCAAGCTGCTCTGTCTTACCAGCATGTCCTGATGAGTTGTAGTTCCTGGTGTTTCCACTGCAGCTTGGGTGGATAGAGAAAGCTTACTTTATTTGCCACGCTAGTTTAATTAAAAAGCAGAAGGTAATTAACATCAGAGAGGAATGTGCTTGTACCTGTAATTCACTTTCCTGCATTTCACTACGCCAGTGTGAGGCACCTTTGTAAATATGTTCTTAAGAGACATTGCTTCCCTATTGCTAAAGAAATCAGTCTCTAAGGCCCAGTGGGATGTTGCAACAATGCTGAGGCCTATTTATAGCCTTAAAGACCTATTTGATCATTATATAAACTGACCTAATAAATAGGTCTCAACATTGGTTTTAAGGACTACATGGATAATTGACCAGCAGTCCCTGCTCTTCTTGACAGGGAGCATTTAGTCCACAAAAGCTCTAATGAAGAAAGGTCAATAAAAGTTCACCCAGTGGGTCACTTAATACACAAGGATCTCTGAGAAAGTGCACTTGGATTCCTCAGATGTGATATGCTTCTGTTTGAATAACGTCCAAGTACAGAAGCTTTATAATTTTCCTGTGGTTTTATTGTGGGTTTTTTTAAAGATGTGTTTTGTAATGCTTCCTTACATTGTCTCTTCTGCACATCAAGCAAGTGGATTGAGGGGATAGTGCGAAGAGATAAATGAAAGTTTATTGTAATATTTCAAATACCTGTATTTAAAATGCATGAGTTTCTGAGGAGGCAGATCTTGCTAGGAATCATTTATATATTAAGACAGGGACAAAGTGTCTGTTTTCAATCAGTTATGATATTTGTTCATTCTGTTGCACTAACCTGGAGTCACAATCCAAGAGCAGGGATAAAGTTAGATGAAGGATTTGTTATTGCAATGACCTCAGTTGTTGAAACTATTACCTTGGAGAGTTAGAAGTTGTATTAGGCAGGAAAGACTGGCTTATTACTCTTTACCTGTTACATGTTGCTTGCAATTCTGACCTTTCCTGCTAGCAGAAAGTAGCAATACTTGCAAATTTTTCTGTTTTTCTTTTGCTTACAGCATGGACAAGTGCTACATTATAGCAATCCACTTCTGTTCTTTCTATTCCTACTGACATTCATCACAGCCACCATAATGCAGTGTTTCTTGTTCAGCACCTTCTTCTCCAAAGCAAATCTGGCAGCTGCCTGCAGTGGAGTCATCTACTTCACCTTGTACCTGCCTCACATTGTCTGCTTTGTCTGGCAAGACCGTCTGACTGTTAATCTGAAGATCCTAGCAGTAAGCCTTTCACTGGTTCTGTATCATCTGTGCTCCCCTTCTCACAGTGCATATGTGAATCACAAAGTATTGCACACCTCTTCCTCTTGGCTTTTTTGACTCACAGAGTGAGACCTCTAAATATCTCTTAAATAATTAAGGACTGCAAGGAGGCCTTTAGCCGACCTAGTGCAAGAGATACCTTGATGGCTCTTAGAAAATTCAATAAAATTTATTTTATGTTTTGAATTACAGGAAATTAGCATACTAAAACGTTTAAAATGTTTTTAGTATTTCCCTATAAGTCTAAGCAAATCTAATTTCTGGTATGTTTAATAAATATGAAGGTAGCTCACAAAATGAGGACATTTATCTTTCTCATGAGCTATAACCTAGTTAACACCCTCTGTCTGAGGATGAGAAGACCTCAGGTTCACATTCCTTCTTTACCTCAACCAAAGAGTTAGCAATTGAATCCCAGTGCCAAAACTCTGAGAAATAACTTTCATCTAACAAGTTGTAGATATTCTCCATGCAGTGCTTCCTTGTTGGTTCTCTTCCATTTTAGGTAAGATACTTAACAAGTCAGGGAAACTGGAAACTTCTTGCTGTTTTTTGAGCTGGAGCTTTGATCTTACAAAATTTTTCAGACTGATTTTATGTTGCCCAATGAGTCAGGAAGGGGAGTGGGTGTTTAAGTCCAGTCTTCCCATTTTTATCAAGCATTCTAACAGCATAGGTAAAGGAACTGTCTTCTCTTCTTGCACTAGGAAATATAAGGAAAAAGGGAAAAGAAAACAAAACACTTCCAAAGCTGTAATTAAGTGTATAAAGTCATAAACTAAGTATAAACTGTATTAGTTTGTTGTGTTAGAATCAGACGTGCCAGCGGAAGCAGTTGTGGTTTTCCATATCCTGATCATCTGGTGTGCTTTCTGTCATGTTACTCATAGTAGCCCTGCCTCATACTCTCAGAAAATATTTTGTTTCACCTAGATAGTCAAAGGTGTACACTGCAAACTTGTAGATACACCTGTAGTATTTTCTGAACAGACATTATTGAAGGAAAAACCAATCTGTGAAGGTTGCCTGGTAGTTAAAGAGAGTACAGGCAAGATTGAATTCAGTCTATTATGGCTAAATACTGCTTAGAATTGCAGAGAATTAAATTATACAGGCCAATATAAAAGTGAAACAACTTTTCCCGTGTCATTTTTTATGCAAGTTTTAAAGTCCCATCCCTAAAAGTCAGAGGGTTTTTTTTGTTTGTTTTGGGTTTTTTGTTTTGTTGTTGCTGTGGTGGGTTTTTTGTTTGCTGGTTTGGTTTGGGTTGGGTTTTTTAAAGTGTTCCCTTGTCAGGCCTGAATGTAATTTTTCCTTTATTCCAGAGTTTGCTTTCTCAAGTAGCTTTTGGGTTTGGTACGGAATACTTGTCACGCTATGAAGAACAAGGTCTTGGCCTACAGTGGGGTAACATCAGAACCAGTCCCTTGGAAGGAGATGAATATAGTTTTCTTTTTTCCATTAACATGATGCTTTTTGATGCTTTTCTCTATGGAATACTTGCTTGGTATCTTGATAACATTTTTCCAGGTATGTCGGTTTCGTATTCATACAAAGTAGTGGTAGTTGCTGTGAACTATGTTAGTCTAATCAGTCTCTACATATTTCACTGGCAGAAGCAGGGTGTTTGACCTTGTAGACTATGAATCCTATCCAGTTTAGCACTGCTGGATTATTAAGGACTTCCACTTTTCTCTTTTTTCTTTTTTTTCTCTCCTGTTTTATTTCTGAAAAGAATTAAAAAGGAAGAAAGAGTAAAAAGGAGGATGTGATTTCTAGTCCTGTTTTATAATTTAAATGGAAAATAAATCTACAAAAACATCATCTGTTAAAATACGATTTGTGTATACACTTTTCTTTTGAAAAGTTCCAACCATTTCTAGTGAGATTTCTTTAAATTTTAAAAAATATAGATTTGGCAGTTCTAACTCACATATATACTTTGACCACCGTATGCAAACTATTTCTTAAAGGATGGTACTATTTCCTAAGACACATGCTGTGTCATTGGCAGCTGTGAAAGTTCCTGTGTGGATTTATTTTATTTCTAAATGGAAATCATATTTAGTACGAGATCACAAAAGGATTGTCTTTGTTTTCAATTACAAAATTCTGGAACCTTCTGTGTGAAAAAATGATTTGTCCTTCTAGCTTAAATGGTTATCTTGCTTCATATTGAATATTGTTACAATATAATAACTGCCAACTCTTATGCTGTACAAGCAAGTGAGCTTTCTTTTCGTTAATTTATTACTCCTTCATGTGAACTGCAGTTCTAGAAGGTTCTTGGCAGATGGCTATTTTTCTTTCTCTTTTTCGCAACCCTGTTTAAAGAAGAGTGGACAATGGACTATTTGCATGAACACAGCAGGAATTAAACAATAGAAATTTCTTCATTCCTAGATACAAATAAATTTCTTTCTGTCAACACTTTACACGAAAGCAGCATATTTCAGGGCTTCTAGTTAGTAGCTTCACTTCCTCACAATATTTGCTCTGTCTTGTCTCTCTGCTGCTCTGTTTCTGTAGATTTTCTCATAGCATTTCTCTGTCACACACATGCAGCCCTGCCAAATCAATGCTGTGCTATTTGAGGTTACTGCAGGAGTTCCCTGGATAATTCTTTGAACCGTATGGTTCTAGTCCTGCTAAAGTCTGCTCTGAAACCAGCCACCCATTGGCATAAAGGTCCTTTGGCTATTGGAGCATTCTGCTCCATGACAGATTTCACTTGGATTTTGCATTCATCCTGAATGAGAAGCTGTTGTTTTAGCCACCAGATTCAGAGGGGAATAATCCAGTCCATAATAAGGCAAACTATTTGTGAATGCAGACAGAGCATTTCTGTGCATGAATAGGAGTACAAGTGGTTGGCTGAAACATAGCCAATTCATAGCTAATTCAGAAGTAAGCAGACACTTTCACAAGCAGTGGTTTTCAATTAATAAAACTGACCATCTTTCAGTGAGTATCACAGATCCCCCTTGCCTATTCTGAATAAGTAGCACAAGGCCAATAATATCTGGGTTCACAAAGATGCCAGTTTTAAACACAGAGGCTCAAATTCCTCCATTCTCTAAATCAATATGATCTAGGAATGCAGTGTTGACTTCCAGTAACTCTGATCTGACCTGCCAAGAGCTGGTAATGTTATTGTGCTGTATCTTATCCAAACTGAATTCACTGGTAACTAAAAAAGTCTATTTTTGTTTAAGAAGAGGATTACACTGTTGTCAATTTCCCTGAAAGGCTGTGTGCTGAAATAACAGAGTGTCTTTTCTCATTACCAGTTTTAAATTCAGCCCCAGGGTAATAAATGTAAATTTAAAAAGCTTTTCAGTTATGTCAACCCTCAAGTGTTAAGTGAGCATTAAAAGAAAGTTCCTGAGTGAGGCTAGGATCCCATCTTATGCAGTGAGCTGCTGCCTGGCTGGTAAGGATTCAAGGACTAGCTTCATTCTGGAATTAAAATACTTTCTACATAAGTCAAGGTAAGGCAAATCATATTTTCTGAATATTTTACTGCTGTCCAAGAGAATAAAAACCCATCTGTGAACAAAATCTGTTTTGTCAGGTATTTGGTACATGGTTTGACCTTCTGATACGCAACACTAGGACTGCAAGCGTTTATAATTAGACTTTGCTAAGATGAATTAGTGTCTACTGCAGAATGGGGTTATGAAGTGCACTTTACCTACTTTTTTTTGTTTTAGGGGACTATGGGTTACCACAGCCTTGGTATTTCCCTCTGCTGGAATCTTATTGGCTTGGCTCCAGAAGCCCAGAAGCTGAGAAAACAGCAAGTGCTGATGGTGAGTTCTTTGGAAACTTTGTTTTTCAGAAATAACTTCACTGATCTGCTTAAAGGTGACTGCATAATATTTCCATTATCTGGGCTGCTGCAAAGGTGAGAGACTGCCCTACACTGGGAGTCTTGGCAAGTGCCTTTGAACTTGGAGTGACCATGCTGTCATTAGTATCATTAGAGATGAGTCACTGTTCCATCTGAGAGCCTTTAAAGCCTGGCTTAACAAGCAGCACCAAATCCCCACTCTAACCAGCACCTTTTGAGAAATTCAAGTTCTTATTGCTCAACACAACATCCATGAAATGTTAATCTCACACTGAGGTTCCCTACTTTTCTACACCTGACTCTTTTCTATCTAGTTTGACACTAATTTAAGTCTGTTTACTTTCTGTTTCTAAGCAAGATCATAATCTATGCCACCCTTGTACCAACTGGAATAAGCTCAGTAAAGAACAATAAGTTGATTAGGAGCTGGAGCATGTAACACATGAGATGCTGAGAGAGCTGGGTCTGCTCAGCCTGAAGAGAAAAAGCTCAAAAGAGCTGGACTTCTCAGATGTGTCTAGTGGAAGGATATAAGCTGGAAAACAGGAATTCAGATTCAATATAAGGAAAAAAGTATTTCTGTATTATAGTAAACTATATGTACTATATATAGTACACTATATATATTAGTATGTGTATATATATACACACTATTATATACAGTATAATATATCTATTATACTATACTATATATACATCATATACATATACATATATATACATAGTATATCGTATTATTATGAAAGTAGTTAGAGAACTAGAACAGCTTGTTCAGAAAGGTTGTGAAATCTCCATCTTTGGAGATAGTGCCACGATCTGATATGGCCATATTTTTTGAGGGTTGAACTGGAAGTCTTTGGAAGTAATTTCTGATCCAAATTATTCTATTATTATTTCAAGTAGCCTGATTGTACTGATAGTTATTTCATCCTCTTTTCTACAAAGCATTGCCCTGGTTTTCTCAAGCAGGGACAGTCAGAAAGGTCATCTCTGGTTAACTCCTTGGTAAGAGACTGATTCTTACCTATTTCAAGAACTAAGACTCTTCAGTGGCTCAACTTATTTGAACAACTGTGGAACTTTTCACAGCTCCTATCTATTCTTCAAGAATAATATTGAGCATTTTGTTAATTTCTCATAACTGGTTACTGTATTGGGAGAAAAACTGGATAAAAATGTCAGATCATGTAAATTAGTGTCTGAAAGTGAAGCTAAACTGGTAAATGATCTTGGTACTTTTAAAATTTATTTCTCTTGGTGCACTCTTGCATCCCCCACTTTGCCAGTTTAGATGATGCAGTGAACTTGTTCATGTTGCTAATTGTGCACCAGGTAATTTTGTACAGTTTTGTGGGCTGAAATTCCTTATAGCAGAAAGTAGTGGGGAAGTTTCAGAACAAAAATAAGTCCTAAGCCACCTGATAAATTACAATTGTGCTAGTTTCACTCTAGACTGCCAGCTTGAATTTGTGTTATGTAAACAGTCTGTTCAGGGGCTCCAGCTTCTTCCTTCTTCAAGCCTGACCCAATGTGACTGTTTTCCTTCATTGTTGCAATGTCTAAGACCAAAGCAGTGAGCCAGAATTTCTTGTTTAGAAGTTAATACCAATTTACTAATTTTTGCCCGGTGCTCTTAATCTAAGTAGCAGTTTAGCAATTTGCTTTTCATTTAACCTTTTAATTTTCTTTTAATTCCTCTCACTCCATGTACATCTGGGAAATGTTTGTATGGTCTTTCTCCTCATGTGATGAGAAGTTCGTCTAGAGCTGCATGGATAAAATGTAAAACATGTACCTAATTCTAGTCAGAATCTTACTCTGAGTCTACAATTGCAAAATTGTCAATCATTTTCCTTAAATAGCTGATCTTGACACCATGAAGCAGATTTTAATCTGGATGGTTTTGAATGCTGTATTCCTAACCTGAGTAAAACACTGATGGTTAATGCCCTTGAAAAGCTCCAGGCTTAGGACTATCCTTTTCCTCAAAATACCTCTAGAGATAAGAGAATAATACTTTTTTGTTAATTAAATCTTGATTGCTTTTGGTTTATATAGAAAAAAGTCCAGAGTCAGAAGGTTGTGTGGATCAGAAGACCATGGAAAGAGAAAAAAATGAAAGCAACACAAATAAATCTGAAGAACCTGAAAAAACAGAAGAAAAGAGTGACAGCCAGGGGAAGAAGGATGGTAAAAACAAACAATGTAAACACAAACGAGAAAAAGAACCCGGCGAGCAGGGGAAGCCTAAGACAGATGTCCAGGACAAAGATGAAATTAATAGTAAGGAGAGAGAGCAACCTGAGTACTTCTGAGATATTATACTCATTGTACTTCATAACAAACTAGACATAGGAGTGATTGGAGCCAAGCTACAAGAGCCAGTAGGAGCCCCGTAGGTGATAGCATGTAACTGCCAGAGCTAAGCACAGAGAGACATGACTCTTATTTATTCCTCTACATTCATCATCCCTTAGAATATTTTAGCCACTGCACATAAGACAGCTGCCTTCCAAAAGAGCTCCTTAACTTGTGTTTTTATCATACAAATGCAGGCTATTTCTTTGGCAAGTTGGTTTTCATGCTGAGGGAAGCCTCAGAGACATATGCATTGACTTTTAAAATTAAACAGAGCCATGACTTCAATAAAAACACGCTGAGAGGAATGTTCTTCCCACTTAGTCCCACTCCTCCCTTTTTTCTTTTTTTTTTTTTGTCTATCTTTAGTGTGTTTTGCATCAGTAGGAAAAGGCTAGTTTCAAAGAGGTTTATCTGAAGTGCTCTGTGTGTCTGTCTGCAGCCTTTTCTGATGCTGACATTAGCAATCACCTAAGAATTCCTGAATGACCTGTCTTGTTTTCAAGCCCCAATGTCTTCTTTTGTGGTGAGCCAGAGGAGTTTTCTGTATGAGATGCTCAGAGGAATGCATGTGGATTCTGTAGCACAAGTAACTGTTACAGGCAGCTCTGAGCCCTTTCTGACTCTCTTGAAAAGCAAGAGATAAAAGTGGGGTCATCAGAGCTCCTCACGTAGGCACTGAAAACATGCATTCAGGGTGAATGGAAACAGGACAGGACTTCAAAGGAAAGAGACACGCAGAGGTTAAAGGTTATTTCAGCCAATTTCTCCTAGTACTGCCTTATCTTTTTGGTGCTTTACTCCTTAGTTCCCAGGTTCCAGCTGCTCCGTGGCCACAAAGGAAGGGCTTTCTGCTTGTCACTGCACAAGAGAACCTGTCTTCCCTTTCAGCCACCCAGGAACTGGGAGGCATGAGGAGAAGCCAAGAGCAGACCTAGTATAGCTCAATGACAATGAGGATACAGGATCAAAATGGAGGAATATGAATCACGAAAAAAGGGAGCTCAACCCCCCAGCAGTCCTTCAGTTGATGCAAAGCAGATACTGGGGGAGATCATCAGAGAATTTGCCTCAGAAAATTGTCAGTGAGTCTTGCAGACAAATATGATCTAAGTTTATGATACATATAAAACCAAGGAAGGTGTCTCAATTGCCAGTATATGCATGAGAATCTAGCCAGACTCTATGTGAACTTTTGTGAATACAGAGATGATTGTATTTATCCCAGCAAGGTAAATGGAAACCTAGATTCCTTTCACAAGTCAAAAGAAGAGTTATTCATAAACATAATTATATCTAAAATATTGCTACCCATTCTGTATTGATTATTTCAGCTGTTCTGTAATATACACAGCTCTCTCATGTACAGCAAATTTGGAACTTCTTTGTGAGTACAGCCGGTGACAATAATGACAATCACACAAGCCTCTGATGGATGTGGGGCTGGCCCAGATCACATTGGCTGCTCTCCACACAGGCCTGCTGGGTATTGAACAATTTAAGTAAACTGTAATTGCAAAATAAGCCTTCCTACAAAGCCTAAAGCATTCTGTGTAAACAAAAGTGGACAAAGTCTTTAGTTTCAGTTTCTCAACTCCCATAATTCACATTGCCCAAGGGCTTAATTTACTTCAAAGGAAGTTTGTTTTGTCTAGAAGCTGGTGCAATAAAATGTCCTGATGGTGCTGTTTGCAATAATGCATTTTTAATCCTGAGAGAAAGCCATCTCATGTAGTGCTCATGTTAGGTACTATCTAAATCTTGACCTGGTCTCAGCAATGGGGTAAATTTCGCATACCAGGATTAAAGGCAAATTTTTTTGTTGTTGTGGTGTTTTGTTTGTGTTTGGGGGAGGTTTTTTAAGCATCATGGTCAAAGAATGCACAGCTGGGCAGATTATTTGAATGGCAGATTTCAGCCCAGCTAGAAAGGCAACCTGCTGCTTGTTTAATGTAATCTCTCAGCCTATCTAAGTAGTTCCAGAAAACAATTTCAAATAATCTTCCTGCTACACAATGAGAACAGAAAGCATGTTCAGCTTCCCCTGGACCAATAAGTTACCTTTCCACAGACTACAATTCTGGGCTCTGCTTCTCTTGTCATAGATATCAGGGTGAATCTAATGTCATTGATATGAGGGTGAATCTAAATAAATTGCACTGCAATTAGAAATCTGGCCTTAGTTTTTGTACTGGTGTGCCTTGGAGAATCTGGCCCTGGAACATGATGCTGTATTATGCTGGGTATGTGCTATTGCGTCTGCGTTTACTGATGATGAACTAGGATTAAAACAGGTGCTTTTATTCTCTTTTCATTTTTGATTTCTTGCCTTTCAAGTAAATACCTTCTTTGAGCCCGAGCCAACAGGATTGATTCCAGGAGTATGCATTCAGAACCTGGTGAAGATTTTTGCAAACAGACCCAAACCAGCAGTAGATGGGATAAATATCACTTTTTATGAGGGTCAGATCACAGCCTTCCTTGGTCACAATGGAGCAGGAAAGACAACTACCATGTAAGTCTCTTCTTTTGGAAGAAGCAAATCCTGGACAGTACTGTATTGCTGGAGCAGTCTTTTCTTTTCACTCTTTCCTGGTCTCTCTATCACCCCTGCAGCTGGCTTGACACACAACATCAGGCCTTTTCCAGACAGGGAAATGCTGCCCCTAGGCATAAAGAAGATATTCTGGATTAGCTAAAGCCCTGGGAGGGAAGTAATGCATGACACAAACAAGTGAAAGTCCAGAGAGAAGGAAGCAATTCTCTCCCTCAGAATTCATTTCCCATGGCTAAGTTACTATAGGTGAAGAAAGAGAAGGATCTTCTGCTTGAAAGAGCTGAAAATTTGCAAACCAATACATTCCACTTGTTCTTGGTTTCTCTAACTGGCTCTGGGTCAGTCACATCTATTGCTCTGTGTGCAAAGGAGTATAAAATACAGGCCCTCTTTAAATAAAATGGCTACACGCATGCAACATCCATGTCCAGATTAAAATGTTCCTCTAGTCCTAGAAACCTAGCATCCAAGGAAATCTGGACTTTAAGGATGTTTAATTTTCTTTATACAGAAACTTATTTGGCAAAATAGGATTCACTGGTGAGCAAAAACTTTTATAAATCTCTGACAAGTTCACCAAATGTTGAAAGAATTGAATGTTTCATTATGACTTTTCTCAGCAGTATACTTTAGGGTTTTTCAATTAAAACACTTTTATTTCAAAGGCACTTTAAAGTGCCTTTTAATTTTTAAAATTGTTTCACAAGGAATATGTTCAACCTAAAATAAAAGCATCCTAATCTGCTGAAATATTTTGTAAATATGAGGGAGTTTATTCTTCCAATAAAAACAATTTTTAAAATTGCTTTGTACTTTTTTAAACTGAAAAATCCACTAATCACCCAAGTCTATTAAGAGATGCCACCCATTTGCAACATAACATTTGGTCTTCTAGTTTACAGAAAGTAAAGATTTAGAGCATGAGTCAGCATGGTCAGAGACCTCAAACCATTATTCTTTTTCATCCTACTGAGCTTCATTTTAGACCCATTTATATGTAGGGCTGATATAACATGCAGAACTAAAGCAGTTCCTTAACGGAAACCAGAACCATATAGACAGTTGTATCAAAAATGATATTAGCAGATCCATCAGAATCTCTGTAGCAGATCAAGAGTATTTACATGCATGTTTTTCATTGGAGTTGTTTCTTCAAGGCCTATAGTAAGAAGTCATCATGCTCCATCTAGTGGAATCAGGTAATGTAGCTCCCTTATCTAGCACAGAGCCATAGGAGAGGGGGAATTTCCTCATTTTGTTTTCCCAGGTCGATACTGACAGGCCTGTTCCCACCCACATCTGGAACTGTGCTGGTTGGTGGCCTGGACATCCAGACTCACATGGACTCCATTCGGCACAGATTAGGGATGTGCCCTCAGCACAACATCTTATTCCATCAGTAAGTATCACCCCATGCTGGCTTCAGGAAGAAACATCCCAGTCTGCCTGCGTGAGAATCCCCAAAGCCTGTGTTGTTCTCTTACTGTGCTGGCAGCAGATCTATTTCAGAGGAACTTCTCCATCTCTTAACGTCATATCCTGCAGGAGAAATCTCCTGCGTCATTTCACTGGGAACAAAGTTTCTTAGGAAAATAACAGTGTTCCTGGTGTTTTCTGTTGTAGTGTAGGTTAGAAGGAGTTATCCTGGAGGTTCATGCACTATAATTTAGGACCTCTAAAGCAAAAAAATCCAAGTTAACAATGCAGTAGCAGGATATTTTTATGCCCATTTCTTACTGCCACTCAACCACTTACTTACCTTCTCTGGTGATTTCCAGCTTCACGTCCATTAGTTTGTGTTCATCTCAACAACAGACTCTCTTCCATTTTATTCCCATAAATGGAGGGTTTGATGCCTGCTATACCTGTTCCTTTAGTAGCAGGTTCTGTTTTGAAAAGGCAAAGAAAGAGACTATGACCTCCAAGTGAAGTATGTTGATCCAGGAGAAGATCTTTTAGGGTAATGCAGCCTCTCTTCCTTTAGCAAGATAAAGCTAGAGTGAATTTATTGCTTCTGGGGAATAAAAATAGCTTAATTATTTAATGTGCCTTCTTGCCTTTCTGTCTGATGTCATAGCCTTACTGTAGCAGAGCACATCTTATTTTATTCTCAACTGAAAGGAAGATCCAGGGAAGAAGCTGAGCAAGAGCTGGAAACAATGCTGGAAGACATGGGCCTCACCCATAAAAGAAATGAAGAAGCTCAGAATTTGTCAGGTACCCACAGCAATTTTCTAAGATGTTTTGTCCTGCTGCCCTTTCTTTGTCTCTCATAGAATCATGGAATGGTGTGGGTTGGAAGGGATGTTAAAGATTACGTAGTTTCAGCCCCCTGTCATAGCCAGGAACACTTTCTGCTAGACTAGGTTGTTCACAGCCCCATCCTACCTGGCCTTTGGGCAATTACTGCTCGAGTTACATATTTGAAGCCACATTCTCACACACCAATGCACAATGGGGGCATGCTTTCTTTTCAACAAATAAATGGGACTGTACAAGTAGTAAAGCTGGCACAACCTGTCCCTAAAGCTTCTATGTCTTATAAATATACAACAAATTCAAATATACTCGAAGCTATGAGTTTTATATATATATATATATAAAGTTGGTTAATATAAGAAATGAAACAAAACCTTCAGTTATTTCAAGGCAAATGAAATACTATACTATCATTCTGTCCCACTGTATGGATCAGTGTTCCACAGTACTATATTATTTGGTGGGAGTAGTTTCTTCTATTCTGAAGGTACAAATGCACATAGTGTATTTGAATAACTCTCACTTTCAGATTCAAAGGCTGATTTGAATAAACAGCCATGTGTTCTTATACTACTTTGTCCTGATTGCACTATAAAAGTTGGTTAGTTCCATGAAAGAACATTAAAACCCCGTATCTTCCTTCTTTTGCTTCTGGCAAGAAGCAGGAAACGCAATGTGTAAATGGAAAATACATATTAAAAAAAAAGTTTGAACAACCTGTTTTGAATTTCAGAAGGAAAATTACTATTAATTTATCTTTGTAGATATGCGTCTGAGGATGGGTTTCATTTTATTTGTAGCAGTTTGTCCCCACACCAAAAAGCAAAGTTAATTACATCCCTGAAACTTATATAACTCATCTTACCCTCCTGGCTCTGTTTGTCCTCTGGTAGGTGGAATGCAGAGGAAACTGTCTGTTGCCATTGCTTTTGTGGGTGAGGCAAAAGTGGTAGTCTTGGATGAGCCCACTTCTGGAGTTGATCCATATTCCAGGCGATCTATCTGGGATCTTCTGCTGAAATATCGCCCAGGTAAGAGATTTGAGAGTAGAAACTGTTTGATTTTTTTGGTGGGATTTTTAGAATTTGTTAGATGCAGTATGTGCCTGCTGTAAAAACTGTCATGAGCAGTGAGATATGAGCACAAGCAAACAAGATTCTTTGAACAAATACCTATGGTTGTAGCAAACCTGAGGCTGGCTTTGGTAAAGAGAAATAATTGCCAAAAAGCTAAACACAGTTTTGAGTTCCAGAGAGAGTGCCTTGAACATTCCTCCTTGTTTCCTCTAGGCAGAACTATTATCCTGTCAACCCATCATATGGATGAGGCAGACATCCTTGGAGATAGAGTAGCCATCATATCCCAAGGGAAGCTCTTCTGCTCAGGCTCTCCTGTATTCCTAAAGAACTGTTTTGGCTCTGGCTTTTATCTCACCCTTGTTCGCAAAATGAGAACCACAAAAATGGGAAGGGCTACAGTAAGTATGGATCTCCCTCCCTGCACATGTAATCTGAGTAATGCCTGCACAGCACCAAGGTAAAAGGCACTTAAATGCTGCTTGACACTACGTACAAAACTGCAGTTAATCACATGATTATATAATTACTAATATCATACTAGCATGGTTTGGGTTTGAAGGGACCTTTAAATGTCATCTAGTTCCAGCCTCCATGCTGTGGGCAGGGACACTTTCCACTAGACCAGGTTGCTCAAACCCCATCCAGCCTGGCCTTGAGCACTTCCAGGATGGGGAATCCACATCTGCTCTGGGCAACCTTTTACAGTGCCTCACCACCCTCACAGTATGGAATGTCTTTGTAACATCTAATCTAAATCTACCCCTTTTCAGTTTAAAGCCGCTCCCCCTTGTCCTATCACTACATGCTTGTGAAAAGTCCCTATCCAGTTCATTTGTAGCCCTCTTTAGGTGCTGGAGGGTCTCTAAGGTCTCTCTGGAGCCTTCCCTTCCTCAGGCTGGACAACCCCAGCTCTCGAGTTGCCTTCGTCCATATACAGGTCTTTCTGATTCTTGATTTTGCAGTACACTGATTTTAAACATTAGGTAGTCTGGTAAGTAGCTCAGACACCAGAAAAGTCTACATTTATCCATAGCCAAACAAGCTCTCACAGTTTGAAAAGTAGTGTTCAGGGTTCTTGAAACAGTGCTTCCAGTCCTAGTATCAACACAATCTGTAGGCTCATGGCCCCTGCTGATTGCATTCCCCCAGGTATTTTGTATGCAGTTTAGAACTGATTTGTGCAGATGGATTTATCTTTTCTGCATTGCTTAATCCAGTCTTCAGATAATTTTCAGTATAGTACATTCGAGATGCTCTGAATATGACATATTTTTCATTGACTCAAGCTGTTTCAAATATTGACAGCCTTTACATCCTGTTTTGAGTGTGTCTGCAGCACTTTAATCTTTTTCTCTCTTGCTTGTCCGTGCTAGTCATTTTGTAGCTGTGGATCCCAGTGCTCCTGCTCCTGCTCCAGCTGTGTGCACAGGGGTGAAGAAGGAGCTCCAGAGCTGGAACTGGATGGTAAGAAGCAGGATGGTTCAGCATTCCAGCACATAGCTATGTCTCCTGTTGTGCTGCAGTCTTGTCCTACAGATCAATCCTGCCAAAGTCCTTGTATCTAACACTTGTATTGTATTGTTACGTGAATTTAATAAGGGTTCTTTGTGGTTTTGCTTACCATTGACCCTTTTTTGTGTATATGTAGTCTCAGGTAGAGATGATGAACTGGAAGTTTGAGTGCTTTACAAGTATGGTATTGAATTTTGTGTCATTTTTTCATGAAAACTGAAGCATACCTAGAGCAAGGAAATAGACTTTCTGAGAAAAAAAGTGCTTTTGGCTTTTCTGCGTAAGAAAAGATTTAAAGCAGATATTCCTGAAGATTTGGTTGTGCTTTATTTACAAACCTGAAATAGTTTCCTGCTACATAGTTGCAAAGCATAATTAGCAACATAGCCCCGGTCTAGTGCAGAATTAACTGAGATATCTGTGAGTTATGTAATAGAACAGTACCCTTTTAATGCAAACAACAGCTTTTGAAATCATCCTTAATATGGTTAAATATTCATTTTATGAACACTGTTTGGCTTTTCACAGGAGATCTAAATGAGCTAGCAGAAGTAATCCACCATCATATCCCAGAAGCAAAATTAATTGAAAGCATTGGTCAGGAACTGATTTATCTTTTGCCCAATAAAAACTTTAAACAACGATCTTATGCCAGTCTCTTCAGAGAACTGGAGGAAACATTGGATGACCTGGGACTCAGCAGTTTTGGAGTTTCAGACACACCACTTGAAGAGGTAACAGATTAAAATACCTACAGACCTCACCATAAGCCCCCAAAATGTTTACTGAGACTATTCCTGTTCTTAAATATTTAATTCCTAATTCCTAATTCCTAAAATGTCCTTGCAAATCCAGTCCCATAAGCTGTGGCACACTCAGAAAATCTTTGAGAAAGACCAAGAGAAAAGATCCAACCTTTAATTCATTATAGCCTTGTGGAGCCTGACCCATTAGCCTGAAATGCATCCTTTTTTTTTGTGTGTCTTTGTTCATTCATTTATTTTCTGAGGTATTTCATAAGAGACCTCTGATTATTGATAATAACATGAAGTACTGAGAAGTTATCAAAATGTTCTTCTTTTATATTGAAGAATGATGTATGGTGTTCTAAAGGTCAGGTTATTGTAACTAATCTTTTCCTAACCAGAAAATTTATTTCTCTATGACAGGTTTTCCTAAAGGTCACAGCAGAAGCTGACCCTGAAATGCAAAATACAGGTATAGATCCACAAATCCGTATTTGATTAACTGTTCTTGGGACTGCTTTTTATTCTGAACACTCTATAAAGAGGAGTTTCAGAACTTTCAGTCTTTTATGTGTTCTTGACAAAATAAATTTGGTCGGCAAATATCTGCTTTTAGGACCTGACATGATACCTGAAAAAAATATTAAGTCAGCAGAAAGTCTTGTATTTAGATTGGATGAGGTTCTTAACTATGCAAATAAAAGTGGAGTGTCAAGCACCCAGATGTCAATGGTTTGAGTAGTTGTATCAAAAGTACTTTACTGACTATTAATCCATAAACTACATAGATGATTGAACTGTTCATCCTGCTGGGTAAGAGGAGAGTTAATCTATATGACATCACTAAATACAACCACAGTGCAATAGTTGTAGTTAAAGCAATCTGGAAATATATGTACGGTTGGTAAAATCTGGACCTCATTAAAATGTCTGTGCTACTTCATGTATGGAAAATAAAGTGTCTTCTCTGATGCTTCTCATGTTAACCTAGGAGATGCTCAAGAAAATGGTTCTGCTCTTGGCAAAACTACTGAGAACAAGCCAGCTGAACAAACCGCCCTGAAAACTAATGACACTTCTCGAATGCCAGTAGGCAGAGCAGGAGATCAAAATGAAGGCAAAGGGTCCCGACAGTATAAAGGCTTTCAGCTTGTACATCAGCAGATCAAAGCACTGCTCATCAAACGCTTCCACCACGCCTCCCGCAGCCACAAGGACTTCCTAGCACAGGTATTGACTGACTTCTGCTGTGCTAGACTCTTTCCCACAACATTCTCAATACTGTCTTTCCAGCAGTGATTGCACTGTAGAAAGCAATAGAAGTGCTGCAGATGCATAACAGTGCAATTATGATTCCAACTCTTTTGCCTCTTCTTTCTGCCTGGAGTCTACCAAATGCACTAAGTTCATGATTCTATCACTAATAGCCCAGTGTTTTATTTTTAACATGATTCAGTCCTATGATAACCAGAATTTTAAGCAAAAGCACTGGAAATTAAATTGTTGATGTTCAGGAGTTAAACCAGATTGGATCTGAGTGGTCTGCTGTTCTTCCTTTGTTTACATATATTAGGGTGTGTACAGTGTCACTCCACAATGTTTATACAATAACCTAATGTGAAGTTTTCATGGTCCCTGCAGGTCGTTCTCCCTGCTAGTTTTGTGTTGCTGTCTCTAGTACTTACAGTAATTATTCCTCCATTTGGAGAATATCCTGCTTTAACATTACACCCTTGGATCTATGGACAACAGTTTACTTTTTTCAGGTAAGAGGAATCATTTAAAGTACTTTTGTCACACTTACACTTTTTTCTCCTTGGAGTTTTACATCGTGAGGCCCTGTCTCACTGCTTTTTTCTCACTCTGTGTGATGTAAGAAAATATTCACTTCACTGGAATCAGCATAGTTAAAATAGCTTTAAGTTGGTGCACCTGGAAAATGCAACTGCTAGTATACCTAACAAATAGTTTTTCAAATATCTTTCTAACTTTGGTATTTTCCTCTTCCTACCTGATTTCAGGACCTCAACACTTATAAAGTTACATATCGTATCTAACAGGAGATCCAGGCTTCTGCCAATGAAAATGCAGAATGTGTTTTTCATCTTCTGATTACTGACTGACAGTGCTGAGAGAATAGCCATGAGGATTCAAGCCCTTTTTGGAGAATGCTGCCATTGGACTTTGTCAGAAGTCAGCTTTAGTATTAGGAGAAAAGAACCATAGTCTGTCAACCATCTTGGAACATTCTGGGTTTTTACATAAATAAATAAAACAATTGAATTATCAGCATTTGAAGGGGGGCAGTTGGTACTGCCATATGGTTTTCCTTCGCTAGTTGCTCTGTGTATTACAGTACAATGGTTTGAAAAAATACTTCATAAAGGAAGTCCTGTCTTATTCCCTTAGCAATGAACGTCCTGGCAATGAGCAGATGGTTTCCCTTACTCATGCTTTCTTGAATAAACCAGGATTTGGAATTCGCTGCATGAAGAATCAGCCTCTTTTGTAAGTTGCTAGCTAATTTCTCTTGAATGAGATCCTAGCAGGATACTTCTAGTGGAACTTGAGTAGTGAGACAAGAGTGCATTGGCTTGACTCTTCACAAGAGCCAATGCTTCAGATGTGTTGTTGGCTGTATCTAATATTGGGTCAAAAGAACCAAACAAACAGCAAGAGAACACTGCCACTGGGTTAAGAATGATTCACAGTGCTCAATGTGACTGACTGGAAACCAACTCATGTATTGGTATTGAGAGTTAAGCAACCTTGACATTTATGTCAGTATGTCAGTGACCTCAGGCCCAAATCTTCTCAGCTTCCCTGGCACTTTCCATGTCTGAGTCCTTTTAGGTTCCTCCAGTTCCCATTGGTGTGTTTGGAAGCAATAACTTCAGCAATCTCTTGGATTGTGAAGTAGCAATAGGACAGTGTCTATGATTTGAAACTGTTCTCATTCTGAAGTGAGGGCAACATTAGTAGAGCTCCATCTTTTGTTGTCCTACCTGCTCACTCTGCCTGTGAGTCCTGCTTTGGAGCCATTTGTCACTGGCTTGCTATGCTTTGACATTTGTTACCTTTCTCCTGACTCTTTCCCAGCCATGATATCCAGCAATTTGATCCTCCTGGTTGTCTTCTCCCATTCCTCTCTTCTACCTGGTATAGTAGAAACAAAGAGGAAACTTTTAAAAAAGAAAAGATACTGCATGAGAAAAGAAAAATATAGTTTCTTCAAAAGGATATGTCTACTGCATAAATGTTGTTCTTATTCAAAACTCACAGGATGAGGGCTGAGGGGGGAATATCTGCTTAGAGCATTGTGATTTTGTGGATTTGTGAGTTCTTGTGGACTGTTATCTCTGCACAACTTAAAGCTCTGTTCCTCTCCACAGGAACTACCCATGCAATAACATGCCAACTGCCTGGAACACACCTGCTGTTCATCCTAACCTAAGCAACCTCCTGCTGAGCCAACAGTGGAGCCCTGAGAATCCATCACCTTCCTGCAAGTGCAGCACTCACAAGAAACTCACTATGCTGCCAGAATGCCCTGCAGGTGCAGGAGGCCTCCCACCACCACAGGTTGTGTCCTTGTGCCATAAATCTTTGTAGAAAAGTTTCATGGCAAGTGCTGGAAAAGGGATCAGTGTCTAAGTACCTTGCTATGCTAATACATATGGAAGGAGTTCTTTTTCAAGAGAGCAAGACTTGCTGGAATTTGGAATTCAATTTCAGAGGTATTGGAAAAGCTTGCTCATATAAATAAAATTTTATTACTGTTTTCACCCAAATCACAAACTTTTCATGTGGAAGAAAATCATAAAAATTTGAGCAATTTGTCCCATAATTAAAAAAAAATTCCTTGGCCCCAAAGAACAATTCTATTTAGATGTTTGCCTTTCCTTAAAGGAGGGAAGGGCAGGAGGGAGAAAGAGGAAAGAAAAAAACGAAAAAAATGTCACAATTTTTAAAATTTTGAGTGCAGTCCTCTCATTAAAATGGGAAAATCAATATTCAGTGAACCCCAGATTACTATTTTTTACATGTCTTTCAGATCCATTCCTATAAGAAATGTTTTAAGCTAGCAAAATTAATATTTGTATCCATGTGTATGAAGATGAGTAATTTAATAACCACTGATTCTGTATGGTGAAAAACAGAGCTGCTTTCCCTCCTCTCCTATCAATGAGTGATCTTAGTAGTGCCCTTTATAAAATGTGCTTGCTCTTTTGAAGAGCAAAGGAGAATTACAGCCTGTCAGTGTTTGCATTTAATAAATTTATTTAATACATTATTATATTATTTAATAAACAGAATTGCAGCCACTCTCAGAGTAGTAGCTCTCTAATTTAACATCTCACCTTGCACACTGTTCATCTTTAATATTCCTGTTTGCCAGACTGAACACACTAGCAAAATAACTAAAACATGTCTAATTTTCATAGAATCATAGAATCATTATGTTAAAAAACACCTCTTGGATCGAGTCCAGCTGTTAACCCAACATTGCCATCTTCACCACTGAACTCCACCCCATGTGTCACATCTTGACATTTTTGAACACTTCAGGGATGGTGACTATACCACTTTCCATGGCACACCCTCTTAACTGATTCAGCTTGCTTTGATTTCTCTATCACTGTTCACAAAACAATGTTGTTTTAAATATCTCTAGAATTCCTGTTTATGAAGAAAAAAAATAATAGAGGTTATATACCTTACAGCATCCCAAGTTATTTCTGATTTCTTAGTAACCCCTGTCCAACAAAGTTGAATTCTGCTGATTGCATACTAATGTATTTCAGAGACCTTTTTTTAACTGGGGCCTCAGTTTATTTGAAAAGTTTCCTGCTTTCACATTGATGAAAAAGCCTTGAGCAACCCTGACCTTTGTTGCAAAGACCTGTTTCAGAGTGACATGTAACTATTTTGTGTCATGCATCACAAATTTATTGATTTCTTTTAAAGTCTTAGGAAAATAAGGATGTTTAGGCTAGAAATGACACTCGAGGGATTGGCTCACTCTCTTTCAGGGATACTATGAACCTGAGCATTTTCTTTGAACCCAAACTACTTTTTCTCTTTTTGTGACCAGCACTTAATAGCTTAAGGCACTCTAAACTTTATTATGACTGATTAGGTTTTTGTTTCTTGCCAGAGAGTGCAACGCAGCACAGAAATCCTTCAAGATCTGACCCACAGAAATATTTCAGATTTTCTGGTGAAAACATATCCCACTTTGATAAAGGGAAGGTAGGGATGAATCTCTGTTTCATTTTCATATGTGGTATTTTGTACCTGGTGATGAAATTGTTATTTAATAATGCCATAACACCTGAGTTGCCACAGAATTCTATAGGTTTGAGCACCATGTCCATATTTGTGATATAAGACTAGAAGAAGCTGATTTTAGGGGAGTTAAATCTTTTCAATTATAACTATTTGTATAATCAGATACTCCTTTAGAGCCAGAGCTAGGTGTTGGTGCTGCTGGAATGCCATGTTAATGATGACAAAAGTGGTGCCTCTGCACAGCATTGGTGAACTGCCCTGCAGACACTACTTTGTCTCCCTGAAGAGCTGTGCCCACAGTAACCTGACCATCTGCCTGAGTTAATTATCACTTGCTTCCCAGAAGTGCTAAGAGCGCTAAAGAGCAGCCAAAGGACAATGTTACACAGTTACATCCATCCTGCTGATAGCTCCTCAGCTGCCCTGTGTGCTGAGTGTGGGATTTCGCTGTGCAGTGCCCACGGCCTATTATCTCTGATTCAGGCCTTGCTACTTACTCAGTTACCAGCAGAGTTCTTGAAATTCTCTTTATATTAGCTATGTGCTAGCTGCTTTGACTGATTCCCCTTAGCATGTGACATAATGGCTGTAGATACATCTTTTAAAATAAATTAATTATGGATTAGAATAGCCCAGTATGTGTCACTTCAGGAATCTTGTTTATCTCTGTATAAACTGGAGATGAATCATGACAGAAAACAAAAAGCCAAAAACACACTGCAAGGAATGCCAAAAGTCTTGCCAACCCTACAACTCAAAGTAATAACCAGGAGACTGGAGGTCTGCAAAGTATAGGAGTTCAAGTTTAATTTTTATTTAAGCCTGACATATCATTGACTTTGGTTCTGTGCATTGAGAGGGGATTCTCTTTATCTGTTTCAGCTTGAAGAGTAAATACTGGGTCAATGAGCAGAGGTAAGAAACCAATTCACAGATTAAGGTAGTAAATAAATGAACAATATATTTCTGTTTAACCAGGGAGCATCACAGTGTTTATGCAAATGGACAAGGGGAATTGTGGCAGACAGTGTAGAACAAAGAGATGGCTTCAGTGGGAAATAGGCTGGGGATCAGGAAGGGTCTTACAACAAGGGGTTATAACATCTGTTTGAACTCCTGCAGGAGATGAAGGCAAGAGGCTCGCAATGGGACTATCAGAGCTTTATTACCTACAGAAGTCAAACCAGTGGGAACTGTGTGGTGAAAAGGTTCATGCAATAGTGCAGTATACTGTAATAATGCTGTGACACAGCTCTTTCAGTGCCACAGAAAAAATATAAACCCTCCAAAAAAAGGACCTGAGTGGGATAAAACCCAGACACCAGCCTATCAAATGCAGAAGTAACAACCACAATTCCTCATGCCTGCACTGTATGTGTACAGTAGTTATTAACCAGATTGCACTAGCTCTCTCTTTTAGGCA